TCTGATAGCAGCTTTAAGCACCCTTAGGACCCAGAATTATTTGTGGGGGTGGGAGCCATGACTGTTTAAAGTGGTAGCATATCATTTTAAATGTATGGTGTGAATGTGGCCATAGTCTTGGCTATTAATTTCAGTGGTTCTACTCTGAGTAGGCCTAGCATTGGCTACATCCCAGTGCACTATGGCTTTATTTATATGTTGTATAGATTTGCACATCACCTTTTAAGATAAGCACCCCTTGTGGGGCTCAAGCTGACAATGGGATCAATAATGAAATCAAGAGCTGTTAAGACATGTGGCAATATTGTGCCAAAGGCTTCCTGGTAAAGATGGGTGGTGATTATGTGTTTGTTTAAGGAGATTTGGAGTCCCTTCGGGTTTGTGCGTTGTGTAATTGTGAGGCTGGAGAAGTAAATCCAATGAACTCCAGACCTTTTTCTTGGAAGACCAGAGGCGGTTTCTCATAGTTTGGAACCGAACACAGAATGAGCTTCCTTGGAACCTGACCTGCCTCAATCTCCAGCACTGATTTAACAAGCAACAGACTGCGCTTGCTGTATCTTGCTGCTAATTGGCGCTGGCTTCCTCAGCTGGCAAAATAAAGTTAAGGAACAGCTGTCCAAAGAAACTTCCTTAGGAAGTAGCCTTACACCCAATCAGACAATTAGTTCCTGAAACAATCATATGTCCTCCTGTTATCTTACACCCCCTTCCCCGCCTTCCTCTGATGTCTTCCTTAATTGTAAGCTCCCCAGGGGCAGAAACCAGTGTTAGAAATTGGGATAGGAAAAAAACCAAGGAGCCATGTGGCTCCTGGGACCTACCGTATTTTTCGCCCCATAAGACGCACCTGACCATAAGACACACCTAGTTTTTAGAGGGGGAATGCAAGGAGAAAAATATTCCTTAAACGGAGCACTGAGCAGAGCCTGTATGCATGCCAGGCTCTGCTCAGCACTCCCTTTCACGAGCCATGTGGAGCATGTGTGCGGCGCTTGCAGGCTTTTCCCTGAGGAGGGAGAAGGGCAGCCTGTCACTGATGGGTTTCCCTTCCTCCTCCTCAGGGAAAAGCCCCCAAGAGCCGCACACACGCTCTGCGTGGCTCTTTAAAGGGAGCGCGGCTCTTGCGCGCTCTGTCCCTTCCCCCACCTCCCGGAAAAGCCCCCAAGAGCTGCACAGTCTCTTCAGGGCAGCGGGATGAAGGCTCCCCGCTGCCCTGAAGAGGTTGCACCCGGCTAAGCCAGAAGCTAGAGCAGCGAGAGGGAGCGCTGCACAGTGATCCCTCTCACTGTTCTGGCTTCTGGGATAGCTGCGCAGCCTGCATTTGCTCCATAAGACGCACACGCATTTCCCCTTACTTTTTAGGAGGGAAAAAGTGCGTCTTATAGAACGAAACATACGGTAGTTTGTGGATGCAAAAACAAAATGTCTAGGCAACTTTTTTTTTTTGCTGCAGCTGCGCTACCATACCAGGTGATTTGCCTGGCAGTACGGCAGCAAAAAAGTAATTCCCTCCCCCCTTTGCTGTCAGGTGAATCAGTTGGTCTGCAGAGTAGCGTGGCAGCAAATGGCACCCCTTTTTTGCTGCTGCAGTGCCCAGCAGACCAGCTGACTGCAGCCAGGCAGGGGGAGATGCTAGGCACCAAGGGTGGCCCACAGACATCTCCATCCAGCTGCAAAATGCTGGTTGCCAGTTGCAGAATTGACTGGTGTCCGGCTAATTTTGGAACGCTGGCAGAAACCTCTTCAACCTGTTCTTTGTAAAGCACCATGTACACAGATGGTGCTTTAACTTACGTATGTAGTTTATATTCAAGTTTAGACTATGAGGAGTAGAGCAATTAAAAATAGACATGAGAAATTTAGGTCCACTAATTTCAGTGGGTCTAATCTGAGCAGGATTTAGTTTGATAAATATTAAATATATTTAAAATTAATAATATAGTATATAAATTAATAAGAATAAGCTCATTTAATTTTTTTTTAAAACCAGTTTATGTCCTGCCTTTCCAAACAAAGATTCTTTCAAGACAATAATGTGTATATGCCCAACCACAGTAATGAACTGAAGATCAACTAAATAATATCCATGAAAACTATTAATAATGATTCAATGATAATCCATTGTATCTAGTGTTAGTCCTACTCACTTTGGAATGAAATGAAGGACATGACTCCATTAATTTTGCTAAGTCTACTCTGAGAAGAATTTAATTGGATACAACCAATTTTTTTGTCTCTGAGAAACCTGCCCAAGGTGGCTAAATAAATCTATACAACTAAGCAGAATAGAATACAATGTTGTGAGCATCCATCTGTCTCAAGAGACAATGTTCTAAGTCAGACTGCTGCATTAGTGACCTCCCTGGGGCACAAGTCTGGGCAGTGTGTATGGAGGTCCTGGGCTCCCCAGATGGGAAGACCTCTCTCTCAGCCTCCCTGATGTGGTCCAAAGGAAAGCAGAGCAATACATTTGGCATCAGCTTGGCTGCAGGAGTTGTGGCAGGAGACGTACAAGGTGCCGTCCAACCATCTTAGAGACTCCACTCCAGATCTAGGTAGGGTTTACCACTTAGCCTTGTCTTCTCCCAAAGATATTCCACAAGGCATATCTTAGGACCAGAGTTTTCCTTCTCCTAGAAGGGCTAAGGGACGCGGGTGGCGCTGTGGGTAAAACCTCAGTGCCTAGGACTTGCCGATCGCATGGTCGGCGGTTCGAAACCCCGCGGCGGGGTGCGCTCCCGTCGTTCGGTCCCAACGCCTGCCAACCTAGCAGTTCGAAAGCACCCCCGGGTGCAAGTAGATAAATAGGGACCGCTTACCAGTGGGAAGGTAAACGGTGTTCCGTCTGCTGCGCTGGCTCGCCAGATGCCGCTGGTCACGCTGGCCACGTGACCCAGAAGTGTCTGCGGACAGCGCTGGCTCCCGGCCTATAGAGTGAGATGAGCGCACAACCCTAGAGTCTGGTAAGACTGGCCCGTACGGGCAGGGGTACCTTTACCTTTACCTTTACTTTAGAAGGGCTAACTTCCAGGTTGATGAGCCCCATCTGCCCCTCACTTCCCTCTACAGCACATGCAGAAACTGCTTTCTTGACCATTGGACCCACTATTGGTCTTGTCCATTCAATCCACCAGAGCCTATCATCGCATGCAAGGGAAGTCCCTAACCCACTGAGGATTTGATGCCCCTCGACTACCCTGGTTTAACTGGCCATTCGAAACTGTTTCCTGGGGTGTGGTGCTATCGCACACTTGACATGTTGGCAGAACTGGTCACTCCCAAAGTTATGAGTAGTTAGCTGGTTTAGTGGAGGGATGGGTGAATTGTGCTTCCTCACCAGATTTTACTCTGGGTCTTTGTTGATGCTCATTGTATTGTACAGGGGAGTGTTAGTGGAGGAGTAATACCTCTGGTGGAGAACATGTCATGCCCCTATTGGTATTTTGTCCATCTTTGGTCCCCACCCTGCACTCACCTCTCACCTGTAGCTCCTAGAAGTTGCCTGCATGCAATAAAAATTGTGGGCAGCCCCACACAGAGTGCATTGCAGTAATCATCGTGTTTTAGTGGTCAGGCTACATGATGCCTCCTATCCCAGGTTCCCTTTATAAACCATGCAATTCCTAGCAGAAGCCACCAGAGTTCCCAAGACGATCCCACTCAACTGTACTTGATCGCCTTCTAATATCGAAGTCCCAGTTTGAGGTGATGTCGACTAACTGGGAATATACATAACCCCGAGACTCGCCATTGCTGCCCTGCATTTTTTAGCTGCTGTCCAGTGTGAGCTCAGTGAGGCAGATACTGACACCCAGGCCTTGTTGCAGAGTGTTCTGCGCACAACCCTTGGATCCTGATCAGCCAGCAGCAACACATGACCAGAGGGTCATGCTCCAACAGATTGTGCAAGGCGTCTGCTTGGCAGATGTTGGGAGAGTGACCTGTTAGATGTTGTTGGCTCAGCTGATCTTGTAGGCTTTTCAATTCCATAGTCTCTGCTGAGCAAAGGCTTCCGCCGCCAACAAAGAGATAAAAATAGATCATGGTTCAGGCGGTCCATGCTACTGGCTTGTTGGCTGGGCCTCCTGTTTTTTGAACCAAAAGAGTTCCTTGAGGGGGTTGTGGTTTTGTGATGTAATCAGGGCAAACACCACCCTCAGTAAATGGTGGCTTCCACAGCCCGTTGGCCTCCACATGGACCCTGTCTGCACTATGTAAAACAGTGCCATGCTGCTTTAAGTTGTTGTGTCTTCCCCAAAGAATCCTGGGAGTTGTAGTCTGTTCAGGGTGCTGAGAGTTGTTAAAAGGTAAAGGGACCCCTGACCATTAGGTCCAGTCGTGACCGACTCTGGGGTTGCGGCGCTCATCTCGCTTTACTGGCCGAGGGAGCCGGAGTACAGCTTCTGGGTCATGTGGCCAGCATGACTAAGCTGCTTCTGGTGAACCAGAGCAGCACATGGAAACGCCATTTACCTTCCCACTAGAGCGGTACCTATTTATCTACTTGCCCTTTGACGTGCTTTCAAACTGCTAGGTGGGCAGGAGCAGGGACCGAGCAACGGGAGCTCACCCCGTCGCGGGGATTCGAACTGCTGACCTTCTGATCGGCAAGTCCTAGGCTCTGTGGTTTAACCCACAGCGCCACCCATGTCCCAGCCCACTGAGAGTTGTTAGGAGACCCCTATTCCCTACACAGGTATACAATCCCCAGAGTGGTTTAAGAATCCATCCTTTTCCTCATGGAACTCTGGGAATGGCCGTTTTGTGTTATGTTATTTTGTGTTATGTGTTATGTTGGAAGCTGCCCAGATATTATTATTATTATTAATTTCATATCACATGCAGCTGCCATTTTGTGCTTCATGCGTTGGCACTTTCTCCGAGTTCCAGGTGGGCCTGCCAGCTGGAAAAGTTTGGTATCTCCTGACCTTCATTAACGAAGCTGAATTTTAAAATGTAAAATTTTTTTTAAAAAAAAATTCATGTTTTACCACCAGTGTCCACTCAGGGTCATGGAGAGTGCCAGTGTTGAGCCTGTGCTTGCGGACAGCAGACCTGTTGACCAATCCATGGCGGATACAGTTGCCCAGAACCGTAAAAGGCGTCAAGAACTGATGCTCAAGCTAACGGAAGGACAGAACGTCTTGTGCTGTTGGACTGATGGGCTCTATTACCTTGGGAAGATCAAGAGGGTAAAGAAAGTGGTTTTTTATTTAAAAAAAAACTTCTTTATTGGAAAAAATAAATCATTTTCCTTAGACAAAGAATGCTGGATCCTATTCTCATGGAGGGTAACAAAACATCATTTATGCTCTTGAGAACATTAGGAAGATATTCACTTTTTATTCATATTCTGCACAGAGTATGTGCAAATCAAATCAAATCAAATGTAAGCACCTTATATTGCTGTTGATTTCAATGAGAGGTTGAGAACATGTCAGTCATCGTCCCACTGAAATCTCAGAGCAAAGTGAGGCAGTGAGGAGGGGGTGCCAAGCCAATGTAATAATGAAGTGAGTGGGGTGTTTGTGGGACATCAGTTTTCTGCCCTCCATGCCCACCAGCTGAAGTAATTGTTTCATTCCACCTCATTATTGTACCAGTCTTGCTTGTGTTAATAGCTTGTGTGAACCATTGGTTCCTAACAGTTTTTCTCTCTCTGCCCCCTGGTTTCCATATTTGCAGGTGAGCGGTTCCAAACAGAGTTGCCTGATGACCTTTGAAGACAACTCCAAATACTGGGTGCTTTGGAAAGACATCCAGCACGGTGCGTGAGTCTGCAGTCCTTTCTAGGACTTCTGCATGGGCCCAGCCTATATGCTGGTGGTAATGGAACAATGGAGGGGGATCCTGAAGTGGGGGAGCAGAATGTACCATGTTAAATTTCAGGGGTAGGTGGGCGCCATTTTGAAAAACACAACGAGACTTCCTGAAACAAATGGCTCTACTGTAGAGCTTCTCCCTGATGTGTTGGGTTTGATGGAACATAGTGTTTGAGAGATACTGGGGTTCAAGCCCAATGCCCTGGAATGGCCAAGGGAATCCAGACACCCACCCACCCCTCATTGTCAGCAAAACAGGATGTTTATTTAGGTGTTCCAAGGCTGGTGTGACACAACTGACGCAATCAGAAAGTAGGGAGAGAGTGGTTGGCACACCAAATATGAAAACAGCACTTACAAGCAATGGGGCAGTAATGTCCATGTATAGCATTACTTTCACCTTCAGCTAAATTCTAATAGTTTTTCTGTGAGTCATAACATTAAGCTTCTAGCTTCCTTATCTCTTGCCCGACCACAGCTTCTAATAACAATCCTTTACTTACGTCCTGTTCTGTCTTTCTCCCATGGTTCTCCTGTAAACACAACCTTCACATACCAACCTTGACTTGCTCAGCTCACTGTGGACGATAATGAGCGGGGACGGTCAGATTGATTATAAGGCAATTTCCTGTGCTCCCAACTTACAGGAGTTTTTGATGCTAGAACATAGGAAGCTGCCTTATACCAAGTCAGGCTATTGGTCTGCCTAGCTCCATATTGTCCACACTGAGTGGCAGCTGCTCTCCAGGGTTCCAGACAGGGAGTTTCCCCCCATTTTGGGGTTTTCTTGCTGGTGCTTTCTGCAACATGCTATTGATACAATAATAGTGTAATAGAGTCTGGCAAGACTGGCCCGTACAGGCAGGGGTACCTTTACCTTAGTGGTAAATTTACTGGCCTGGCCATACACCATTCCTCTTTATTATTTGCCGTGCAATGCTTCCCCAAAATTACTGCATTGGTGCCTTGTGAAGAGAAGAAGCTCTTGCACCATAGCGCAACAAAAGCAAGACAAAACCTGGATTTTTTTTATTTTGCTTGACAAACAGCTTTCTTTCACTTTAATAGTCCTCAGATATTTTAACAAATAGTGCAAGATGAAAATGTCTGCCTGAGACAGCAAGCATCTGCTGAACCAGAGCTAGGTCCTCTGACTAATCTCAAAGCTTTTCAGCCAGATATTATTATATTTTGTTGAAAAGAACAATATCATAGAAACCCCTGGAACATTTTGCTACATTCCTGTTGTTTTTTCCTACAGATGTGAAGTTTCCCCCCCTCTAAATTGATATTCCTGCAATCTAGACTACAGACTAGATAAATCTGGACCATCTGTGGTATAAAAAATTACAGGGCTTCAGCAGGAAGCTGTGGGCTGTGGCAGACCTACATTTAGGGGTCCCTGAAGCAACCAGCAGTGGTCTGAGTGACCACTGTCATTCTCTTCAATGAGGTTGTTCCACGACTGCTCACCACATTTTTTTAAAAAAATGTAGCTACTACATCTTGGATTTTGATTAAATTTGCTGTGCTGGATTATCTCACATGTTGACATCACTGGTGTGAATAATTCCCACACCCCTGTGCCTCATAGTTTTCAAGTTATGGGGGTATGAAAATTAGGAAAATGTTATATACATGCAAGATACACCATAGAATGATGAAATAAAACATAGAAAATACCACGGTCAATATAATCTTTTATTTTAGATGCCTATGAAAATACGTACTACATGGAGCACATTTTACGAAACTCTCTTTTTCTAACTTTTCTAGCAACATAGTTACATACAGTTTCATCTTATGAGAGCTTATAAAGAATAGCTTTGAAAAATTCATTTCGGCTTCACATCTCATGATAGGCATTGTCAAGTACAGCTTAAGTGCAGCAGTAATATTGGGCAACACTTCAGTTACGTGTTGCTCACATATAAGCTGAAGACCTCCTGCGCATTGAAATTTAAATGGCATCTTTTATTCTGTGTTCTGGGTTTTCCTAAGGTGCAAATATTCTTTGAACTGATAATACCCATTTACTAATTTGCGGTCAATATCATCTTTGTAATATGATTTTATCAGTTAATTACTGTCCACATCAATTTCAGAATTGTTCATCAGTTCTGAGAAGAATTTGAATCTTTTTTGCAATCTGCTCATATGGGTCAATTCGCTTACTTAACTGGATTATCAAGCAGTCGGCTACAACTCTTTTAAAAACTTCAGAATAGTACTGTATGGTTTTTCTCATCTGTTCTTCAAGTTGCTGATCCACAGTATTTTTATTTGACTTTTTTGTTATCCAACACAACATTGCCCCGTTTATATTCCATGCTGTCTTCAGGATTTTCCAGAGTTCTGAGCATATTCATCCAGTCAGAAAACCCACCTCTGATTTTTTTTTTAATAAAAAAGGGGGGATATATTAGTCACAGCAGAACAGCCAACTTACAGTGACACTCCACCATTGCAACATCTGTGCTGCTGACTCTCAAACTTTGGAATTGTTGAAATACACACAATAAAAAATTAATCGGTTTGAGTTGTGAGACTCAGATTGGATCTACTAGACCCAAAACGTTTAAGCAATGAGGACTAACATTCCTTCTGGGGCTCCTTCAGGTTTAGAGGTCCTAAAGCTTAAGCTTAATTAGTTTCAAAGTCGTTCTGCTCCTGGCTAAGGGGAATGCACCAATTCGAAATGAAGCCGTATGTCCATCCTGAAACTTTTGCTGGCACAAGCACTGTTATAAGCAAGATTCTGGCTACATTTAAACAGTCCTGACTTCCCCCCAAATAATTCAGGGAGCTATTAAGGGTGCTGATAATTGTTATCCCCCCCCTTCCAGAGCTACAATTCTCAGAGTCCCCTGTGAAAGAGGGATTGATTGCTGAACCACTCTGAGAATTGTAGTTCTTCCTGTTTAAAGTGGCATCATAGTGCTTTATGTGTGTGAAGGTGGCCTGCATATAAATGCCCCAATACCATCATGAGCAGAAAACTCACCACTGGCGTTATATAAAATGTATTTCTGAAGGGGACCCTGATATAAGGCTTTTTCATCTTTGCATATGAGGTGGAAATCTCCCATCTCTAGTGACAGTAGGATTGGGCTTCGATACGATAATCTTTATTGTCGTTGTCCCATACAGAACAACGAAATTGAAAAAAATCTACATCAGACATTCAAAAACCAACAAGCTTGCTATCCCAGCCTGGTTAACCCTCTAAAAACTCTGACACCCCATAATTAAATACAATATACTCCCACAGAGGCTACCTTACACTGCGTTTAAAACCAAAATCGCATTTGGATGAAAACTGTTTCTCAGGCGGCTAGTCCTAGTCTTTATAACCCTGTACCTTCTTCCAGAAGGCAGGAGCTGAAAGAGATCATTTCCGGGGTGCATACTATCCTGCACTATCTCTGCAGCTTTCTTATGGCACACGGAAGCATAGATTTGATCCAAGGTGGGAAGAGTGCACCCAATTATTCTCTCTGCAGTCTTTACGACCCTGGACAGCATTGTTTTCCCCCTGACTGTGCAGCTCCCAAACCACACACACAGACCATGGGTTAATATACTCTCAACAGTACAATGGTACTCCATCCTTTTTCCAAGCGGTTGTGGCGATTGCTGCTGACATTTGTCTTCTTTTTCAGCTGGTCTCCCTGGTGAAGAGTCAATGTGTAACATCTGTATGGAAAAGACAAAATCCCCCATGAATGACATACTGATATGCGGGAAATGTGGACTTGGTAAGAAGAATGTCCTGGAAGTTCCACCACCCTGAGTTAGGGGCTTGGGGGGGGGGTGAGGCAGAAAATGGCAGCAACGAGAATGCCCTTATCGCTCAGCAAGCTTGCTGTATCGTTATTAGGTCGGCGGGAAGTCTCTCTTTTTTTAAAAAAAGCTCTGCTCTCCAGATCTAAAAGGTTCTTAGAGTGGCATGTAAGAATAAATAATAAGATGATTCCCCCCCCCGCAACTCTCAGATGCCCCAATTTGCTTTTTTCCTCCTCCCTCCCAGTACCTTTTCCTTTCATGTTATGCACTTTAGTTTTCTTTCTGTCAAGGAGACTGGAAAGCAAGCTCCCTCCTGCTGCTCTTTGGTTGGTGGATGGGGCCAGACTCCTTTGCCTCAATAGGAGAGCAGCCTCCGAGTGGCCCTTAGATGGCTGCAGCCTCCTGCTGGTGTCAAGAAGCTTCCCTGGTAGACATCTTGCATTTCTTTCCTTTGGTCAGAGCTTGGCAGTGGCATGCTGAGTGACATTCCTAGGAACATAGGAATCTTCTTAAGCTGAGTCAGATCCTTGGTCCATGCAGCTCAGTATTTCCCAGTGTTGACATTCCCTGGCAATGCTTTTCCAGGGTTTTGGAGTCTCTCCAAACCATACTTGGAGATGCTGGGAATTGAACTGAGGACCTTCTGCATGCAAACAGGTGCTCAGCCACTGAGCTATGGCCCTTCTACAACATTCATGATCCCAGAGTAAATGCAGGAAGTCTCAAATGTTGGTCCCTGCAAAAAACACTCTGGTGCTCAGCCTCACAGTTAGACCTCTTTCCAAAATGCCCCCCCCCCAAGATTTCATGGCCCTGTTTGCAAACAGTGAATCAATCCACTGTGGGTTGGATTGTTCCAATGTTCAAGGACTGAAAATTTCTGTTAGGGGTGTGTGTGTGTGTGTGTGTGTGTGTTTATCATTCTGTTGCTTGACATTGTAGCCTATTGGTTACAAGAGTGCAAGAATCATGAGAACTGTAGTTTGCCCGTTGCAGAGCTATAACTCCCAGCACCCTTTACAAGCTACAGTTTCCAGGATTCTTTGAGAGGGGAGCTATGCACTTTTAGTGTATGGTATGATGGATTTAGCCTAGTGCAACCTTGTAGAGGGGGACGCGGGTGGCGCTGTGGGTAAAAGCCTCAGCGCCTAGGGCTTGCCGATTGAAAGGTCGGCGGTTTGAATCCCCGCAGCAGGGTGCGCTCCCGTTGCTCGGTCCCAGCGCCTGCCAACCTAGCAGTTCGAAAGCACCCCCGGGTGCAAGTAGATAAATAGGGACTGCTTACCAGCGGGAAGGTAAACGGCGTTCCGTGTGCTGTGCTGGCTCGCCAGATGCAGCCTTGTCACGCTGGCCACGTGACCCGGAAGTGTCTGCGGACAGCGCTGGCCCCCGGCCTCTAGAGTGAGATGGGCGCACAACCCTAGAGTCTGTCAAGACTGGCCCATGCGGGCAGGGGTACCTTTACCTTTACCTTTAACCTTGTAGAAAGTGCTCAGCCTCTTGACGTAGTTGCAAAACTTTGCCTCTCAGGTTTTCACCAGCAATGCCATATCCCAGCGGTGAGCAGCGATGAGAGTTCCTTGGATTCATCTTGGTTTTGTCGGAGATGCATCTTTGCCCTGGCTGTACGGGTGAGTGATAGGATTCAAGGAATGCTTTCTGCTAGCTCTCGTTTCGGGAGCATACAATCTCTGGGCAGATGCTTCTTTATGGACGCCCCTATGTGAAAACCTAGCAATTGCTAGTGGTGGATCGAACCTAGTGTGCTGTCTCTGCCAGAGGACAGCCAGAATATTATTATTTTTATAAGTCAGACCATTGATCCATTCAGTTTAAGCATTGTTTATGCTGACACCATTTCTTCAAGATCTATTTCTCTCTCTTTAATTTATGTACTGATACGTATTCAGAGATATACAAAATTGCATATCCACCACAAAGTATCATTTTATAATATACTGATACAAACAGCTACTTAATCTATAAAAGAACGTAGGAAGAAAGAATACACTGGTACCTCGGGTTAAGTACTTAATTCGTTCCGGAGGTCCGTACTTAACCTGAAACTGTTCTTAACCTGAAGCACCACTTTAGCTAACGGGGCCTCCCGCTGCCGCCGGAGCACGATTTCTGTTCTCATCCTGCAGCAAAGTTCTTAACCTGAAGCACTATTTCTGGGTTAGCGGAGTCTGTAACCTGAAGCGCATGTAACCTGAAGTGTATGTAACCCAAGGTACCACTGTAAAAGACAAGAAATAGGAAAACCTAAAGAAAGAAAACAAGAGAGATTAAAAAGTATTAGAGAAAGAAAAATGGTTTCAAACAGGGGTCCTTCCTGGCCCTGCCTGGATATGGAATCTTCTGCATGCAAAGCACGTGCTTTTGTCAGTGAGCGCCGCAACCCCAGAGTCGGCCACGACTGGACCTAATGGTCAGGGGTCCCTTTACCTTTTATTGCTGAATCAGCTTGTTACGTCAGCTCCTTAAGACACAGGTGATAAGCGACAATTCTTTCTACTCAGCTCCCTGAGCAAATCTTTACTCATAACTTGTGACAGCCACAGAACGTTGGAGTGACACTGAATGTTTCTCCCCAGTGGAGGCACAGAACCTCACAACTCACTGGTCCCTCCCCCAGAGTCATTCCACCATCGGCCCACCCCAGCTGTGCTCAGCATCCCGGCCCCTCCCCCCTGCCACCATTCATCCTCTAGCACCTGCCAGTCCATGACGCCTTTTTGTGGTCTGAAACTCTTGCTGCTTTTTGCCTCTGCAGAATGGTGGAGCCCTGAGGAAAGGCACCATTGCGAAGACGCTGCAAAGGATCAAGATGGTGCTGTCCTATAACCTGCAGGAGCTGGAATGGGACTCCCTCCACAGAACCAATCACCAGCAGTGTTACTGTTACTGTGGCGGCCCTGGCGAGTAAGAGAAACCGAAACGAAAACAAAGGTGGCACCCAGGAGAGGGGGGCATGTCTGAGGAGATGGAGCTTTCTGAAGACCTCTGGCAATAGGGAGCAAATCTATCCTGCCCTTTTCTTCTGTGGGGGGTCTTCCTTTGGAGATTTAAGCTCCTGAATCATGTGGTGGTCCACATCTCCAGGGGTGCAGATGCAAGCTTTAAAATGTGTGTGTCTTGCACAGCTAGATAGATAGAGAGGCTTACCTACACCACGACTGGGAAATGACTGGCCTGGGGTCCCAATGCGGCCCTCCAAGCCTCTCTGTCTGGTCCTTGGGACTCTTTCCAGGCCACACCCCTTATGGGCCCTGCTTTGCACTCCCATTGTGTTTCTGCCTGGCTGGAATCACAGAGTCAAATAGTTGTAGAGTTGGAAGGGACCATGTGGATCATCTAGTCCAACCCCCTGCGATGCGGGAAACGTTTGCCCAATGTGGGGCTCAAACCTTCAACCCTGAGATTAAGGGTCTCATGCTCTATCTATCGAGCTATGCCCACTTCAACCTGCTTTGCAGAAATATAAATCAGTTAAATTGCAGATGAATAGTGGACCAGTTAAATTAAATAAGTTACAGCAGTTAGCAAGTTTCTTGGCTTTTAGATGAAGCATGTGTGTGTCACTGGCTTGGAAGAGGCATCTCTTGCTGATAGATGATGATGATAGATAGATAGATAGATAGATAGATAGATAGATAGATAGATGATGGATAGATAGATAGATAGATAGACAGATAGATAGACAGATAGATTAGATAGATAGATTAGATAGATAGATAGATAGATAGATAGATAGATGATAGATAGATAGATAGATAGATAGATAGATGATTGATAGATGATAGATAGATAGATAGATAGATAGATAGATAGATAGATAGATAGATAGATAGATGATAGATAGATAGATAGATGATAGATAGATAGATAGATGAATGCCTCTTTTAAGATGGTGCCTACTGTCTGCAGTTTTTCAGACTTGCACTAAATTGGGAACACCTCATATAAGAGCCTTACTGGATCAGGCCAATGGCCCATTTTGTCCAGCGTCCTGTTCTCACAGTGGCCTACCAGAAGGTCTAATGGGAAGACTGCAAGGGATGAGCACCATCTTCATTAATTCAAAGCAGAACTCATGTAGCTGAATGTTGGAAGACTCAGGACAGATAAAAGTTGCACATGGTCAAATTCTGGAACTCACTCCCACAGAGTGCAGTGATGCCCACCAAGTTTGATGGCGTTAAAAGAGGATTAGACAAGTTTACAGAGGAGATGACTATCAATGGCTACTAGCTATGATAGCTATTCTGTGGCCACTGGGAGAAAACAGGATGCTGGTCTAAATGAGCCATTGTTCCAGGAGGCTTTTCTCGTGTTTTTCTGAGTTAATTCAGACTTCCTCAACCTGGTGCTCTTTAGATGTTAGACTACAACTTCCATAATCCTTGCCCATTGGCCATGCTAGCCTGGGCTGCTGGTAACTGGGAGTCCAACAACAACTCGAGGGTCCCAGGTTGTGGAGGACTGATTTAATCTAACTCACCAGTGGAGTATTTTTTTTTCCAGCCCAAAGGCCGCAATTCCTCATCAGCATCCTTCTGGGAGACCCATGCTAGTACTGTAGTGGTGGTTGGCAAACTTGAGTAGGGAATACTCCACAGGTGTTGCAACTCTCTCCTGTTCCAACCAAGTTTCTTTCCCCTCCAGGTGGTACCTGAAGATGCTGCAATGTTACCGCTGCCAACAATGGTTCCATGAAGCCTGCACACAGTGCCTTAGCTGCCCAATGATGTATGGAGACCGGTACGTCTTTCCCTCACCTTCTTTGGATTGCTGTGTTGGGTCCCCCCTTCTGAGGCTTGGAGGAGAATGATAAAGGGAGAGGGCCTTTCCGGTGGTGGCTTCAATCTGTGCAATGTTCTCCTCAGCCTGGTACTTTCACTGACATCTTTTTTTGGCTTCATACCTGAGCAACACCAGGTGCACCATGCTGCTAATCTGAGTTAAATAAAGTTCTGCTTGTTCATTTATTTGTTTTTGGTTTTTTTAACTTTCAGGTTTTATGTTTTCTGCTGCGCAGTGTGCAACCAGGGCCCAGAGTACATCAAACGTTTGTCTTTGAGATGGTAAGGCTGAAGCAGAATCACACTCTCAGCGTTTATTATTGTGATGTAAATCAGCTGTATATAAGCAGCAATATTTATTTTCTATTTTTTCATAGAATATTTTATTTGTAGTGAAATAAATACGGTTCCAACAAAACTTGTAGAGCAGTGGACCACCCTTGCTTGGTTCTATAAACTCATCCTGAGTGCTCCCCCCACCCCGTATAAATCATTATTCAGAAATAATACCCCCCCCCCACTACGGAAGACAATAACATAATAAAATTCCAAACAGTAATAATCAATTGCACATTCATTCAAAATAAAACAAAAACTATTTAGTTTAATTAATTCAGCAAAACTGATGAACTTCATCCAGTGGTCCTAGCTTTTCAAAGTTTGATAGTCATTTTCATCTCCAGAGCTCTGCTACTGCTGCCTTGCCTCTTAACACCCTCCTAAGTACTCCCACTGGTCCCCTTGGAGGTGGCACTACTCACTTTTGGGAACCCCTGCTGCAGAGTGTGACATGCTTATATCATACATACGTACATACATACATGTTGTTTGTTTTTGTTTAGTCGTGTCCAACTCTTTCCTGTCTTCCACTGCCTCCCGCAGTTTGGTCAAATTCATTCTGGTAGCTTCAAGAACACTATCCAGCCATCTTGTCCTCTGCTGTCCCCTTCTCCTTGTGCCCTCCATCTTTCCCAGCATCAGGGTCTTTTCCAGGGAGTCTTCTCTTCTCATGAGGTGGCCAAAGTATTGGAGCCTCAGCTTCAGGATCTGTCCTTCCAGGTGAGCACTCAGGGCTGATTTCCTTAAGAATGGAGAGGTGTGATCTTCTCAAGAGTCTCATACATTTTATTTATATGCCACCTTTCCACAGTCAAACCATGCTCAATGTGCCTTACAACATGCAAAAAGACATTACTGCAACATAACAATAGTAGTAATAAACAGTAAATAAAACATCAAAAAACATAAACCTCAAGATCTTTAAAAAAAAGATACAAAGCCCCCTGTTCACCTGCCCTCCCAGGCCAGGTGGAAAAGACCTGCAAGGCAATAGCATATAAGAAGAAAACTGATCAGGGACACTGTCAGATAAGTAGATCATTGAATGCATTGCCAAGGCTTCAGCTGTCTGTGAAATGGCCTCCTCATAAGTAAGCATGAGCAGTCAGAGATAATAATAATAATAATAATAATAATAATAATAATAATAATAATAATAAATTTTATTTATATCCCGCCCTCCCCAGCCGAAGCCGGGCTCAGGGCGGCTAACAACAATAAAACAGTACAAAGGTACAACATAAACAACATTCTAAAATCATTCATTATAAAAATTAATTAATTCAAGCCACTAGCAACCATTGGGCCAGAGCTCTGCGAAGATTGCCGAGGGAGGGAGTCAGGCTGTGCCCTGGCCAAAGGCCTGGTGGAACAGCTCTGTCTTGCAGGCCCTGCGGAAGGATGTCAAGTCCTGCAGGGCCCTGGTCTCTTGTGACAGAGTGTTCCACCAGATCGGAGCCACAGCCGAAAAAGCCCTGGCTCTAGTTGAGGCCAGCCTAACTTCTCTGTGGCCTGGGACCTTCAAGATGTTTTTATTTGAAGACCGTAGGTTTCTCTGTGGGGCATACCAGGAGATCTACATTAACTCCACTTCTATTTACATTGTTGATTTACAGGCACTTATCGAAATGACCATGTTTAGTATGAACTCTAACAATCCTTCTGTGTTGCGTTAGGTGCTTGGAAAGAGCCAAGGTGTCAGAGGTGTCCTTTGGAGTCTTTCTTATGGGAGGCAATCTGTAAACTGGTAGCGGTAAAGAACATGGCAATTATGCAAGGAGCAATACCTCCACTGCATTTAGGGAGGAGGGAGAAATTCGATTCAGGTCTTGCTTAAAGGTGAACCTACCTAATCCATGCTTCCCAAAACAAAATGGGAAGTGAAACACTGCCACCTTCAGAATTTGCTCTGCTCTGAAATTTGCAATGCAGCTCTCCTGCCAGGTAATTGCGTGCAAGAATTCATATGCTGGAATAAAAGTGTGGTTAAGAATGCACATGTAAGTGAAAATAGACTCCTGGAGCTACAATCTCTCTGGGAATAGAGGTTGACTGCTAAACCACTCTGAAAGTTGTAGCTCTGTGAGACAAATGGGGGCCGGCTAATAACTCAACAAACTCCCAGGATTCTTTGGCAGAAGCCATGACTGTTTAAAGTAGTATCACCGGGCTTTAAATCTATGGTGTTAATGTGGCTATAGTCTAATATCTGCATAGTATTTATGCAAGCAAAATCAGGATGAATGGTCTGTGAACAGGTCCTCTGCAGGAAACCTTGGTCATTCTGTTTCCTTTTTTTCATGCACAGGGTGGATCTCGTGCATCTTGTACTCTACAACCTTGGTGTCCAAAGCAAAAAGAAATACTTTGACTTTGATGAAATCTTGACCTTTGTCAATCAGCGCTGGAACCTTCTGCAGCTTGGGAAGGTAAGTGGCAGAGCTGTCAAACCAGTAAAAGCAGGGCCATGGAACGGGTAGCCTGCCAGATGTTCCTGGACTACAACTCCAATAACCCCTGAACTTTGGGCATGCTGGCTGAGGTTGATGGGGGTTAGAACCCAGTGACAATCTGGATGGTCAAAGTTTCCCACTTCTGCATTGAAAGGAGGAGGGTGGCAGAGTCACTGAGAACTTTGCTCGGTTCCATTTACAACTTCAAAGCTGGAACTTGGGCTCCACCTTGTGGTCATAATCGGAATGTTCACTGGTATAAGTATATATGTTGCCATTTCAATTTAATATAAACACAGTTTGAATAAAAAACAGTAAATAACAGTAAATGCTAAATTAATATTTTTTGGAAACAAGGAGCTGTGTGCTGTTCAGGTATTCAGAATCTCAGCTTTTTCTTTTTTAAAAAAGTCGCTAGCCCTCAAGGAACCTGCGAATGATGTTTGGCCACGCTTCCAGAAACTGCAGAAGCCACTTGCAATACATCTCCCCCTTTCAGCTTCCATCGGGGGAAGGCTTGCAACTCAGTGCTTGAGCACATGCATTGCATGTGGAGACATTTTCAAGCCCAGTCACTGACATTTCCAAGTAAGATTGAGGAAGACTTCTGTCTAAAATCCTGGAGGGCTGATGGCACTCAGTATCATACTGAGCTAGATGGGTCAATTGTCTGACTCTTCATAAGGCAGCTTCCCATAGCCATGATGTGGGGCCAGGAGGGGGTTTGTGTAAAGCCTTGCATGCCCCCCCCCAGCAATATAAAACTTTTATTGATTTTTTAAATTTTTAATTAAAATAGTAAGGCTTCAAATGAGCTAATAAAATATCACAACCAGGCTGGCTTATTCTTCAGGCTTCAGTGGGACTTAGGCTGCACCAGCGCTTTTTTCCTAGAAAAAAAAGTTTCAGTACTCACCAGCAAGCTGGGGGAGGGGCAGTGCGTGGGGGAGGGGTGTGGCGTGATGCCAAGGCTGGTCGATAAGGGCAGATTAGCTGCTTTACACTCCCTTGCCTACCTGTCCACCTACCAGGGCGCTGCCACCCAAGTGAAGAGACCTTCCCTGCCTGGCTTTGGGTAGGAGGCAGTAGGGTTCCAGGATCTTGTCACAGCATCATGCCTCCTTCCCTAAGCTGGGCAAATGCTTCCTGGGCTTGGGGAAGGAGTTGCGATGCTCTGACAGGGTCCGAGAGCCCTCCCGCCTCCTTACCCTCCCCAAAAGGTTGTGATAAGTAAAGGTAAAGGGACCCCGGACCATTAGTTCCAGTCGTGGCCGACTCTGGGGTTGTGGCGCTCATCTCGCTTTATTGGCCGAGGGAGTACAGCTTCCGGGTCATGTGGCCAGCATGACTAAGCCACCTCTGGCAAAAACAGAGCAGCGCACGGAAATGCCGTTTACCTTCCCGCTGGAGTGGTACCTATTTATCTACTTGCACTTTGACGTGCTTTCGAACTGCTAGGTTGGCAGGAGCAGGGACCGAGCAATGGGAGCTCACCCAGGTATGTAGGGTTAGGACTGCAGCCTTAGTCACGACCAACTTTAACTGGGTTGGGGCCTAAAACTCTTGGATTTTCACTTACATCCAGATTTTGTTGGCTGCCAGGTGCCCTCAGCCCCACTGCCCAACATGGCCAATGATCAAGGATGATGGGGACCCACAGAGCCCCTCATCCCTAACACCTTTCCGGTGATGGCCCTGGTCCTAAGAATTCCCTCCTGCGGAACATAGAGAGCTGCCTTCTGCTGCTTAAAACAAATGGTCCATCTAGCCCACCACTGTTTACACTGACTGGGAACAATTCTCTGGGGTTTCAGACACTGAGATGGCAGGGATTGAACCTCAAACCTTCTGCATTCAAGGAAGCTGCTATTCCACCAACATGCATTTGGCCCCTTTAAATGGGCCTTTTCTTTGTTCCAGTCTGCTTCTAATCGATGATGCAGGTCCCTGTTTTTAAACTAGCAGCTGCTTTTTTGTTTTATAAATTACTCCAAACTGTCTGAAATGTTTTATGCGGGCTGCTGGTCTGGAACAGGTTGTTTGTACTTTGTTGTCTGAGTTTTAATACTTGTGTTTTTATGTTTTAAATGTTATGATGCAGTTTGAGGAAGGCTGCCTTGAGAGGGCTTCTGACCCTTTAAAGCATCATTTAAAAAGAAATTGAAAATAACTAAGTAAGTTCTTCCTCTCAGCTGAAGAACACTCCCGTGGCAGAGAGAGCCGAACACCTCCTTAACGCACTAAACAGCTACAAAAGCAGGTAAGAGTAATAAAAGGGCTGCTTCTCCGCATCACTTTTATTGTGTTTCTTGTAATCAACATCTTTTGGAAAGTCATCCCTGATGCCAATTTCCATTTGGTTGACCTGGAAGTCAGAGTTTGGAATGGAAAAAGGTGAGATAGTCATCGCACGGAGGCTGACAAAAGTCTCGGAAAACCATTTCCCAAAATGCTGCCGAACCTGCAAGTGAAAAGCTTTTAATTAAAAGCACAGTAGACATTACAAGTGCTAAAAACATTGTGCCAATCCGCAACCGCTTTAAATTTGCATTTTCTTGGGGGGGGGGAATCACTACCAATTGAAAATTCAATACCAAACTTTACTGTCTGCTGCCTTTCAGATTTCTGAGTGGGAAAGAAATCAAGAAGAAGAAGTGCATTTTCCGACTGCGGGTCCGGGTCCCACCAAGCCCACCAGACAAACTCTTGCCAGGGAAGGTCCCAGGGCCGGCCGATGCTAAACCTTCTGAGCCGAAGGAAACAGAGAAACCCAACTCCTCAAACCAAAGCAGGTCTGCACTTGAGCACGGTGATGCTTGTGACCAGAACTGTTTCTCATACAGTGGTGCCTCGCAAGACGAAATTAATCCGTTCCGCGCGGTTTTTTCGTCTTGCGAAGCATGGCTATTAGCGGCTTAGCGGCTATTAACGGCTTAGCGGCTTAGCGGCTATTAACGGCTTAGCGGCTTTAAGAAAAAGGAAACAAACTTGCAAGAACTTGCAAGACGTTTCGTCTTGCGAAGCAAGCCCATAGGGAAATTCGTCTTGCAGAACGACTCAAAAAACGGAAAACCCTTTCGTCTAGCGAGTTTTTCGTCTTGCGAGGCATTCGTCTTGCGGGGCACCACTGTACATTTTTGTATCTCACCCTTCCTTAAGGGAGCCTTCTGAAAGACATATTGAGGTAGGCTAGGCTGAGAGATGACCAGTGGCCCAGGGTCACCCAGTGAGTTTTGCGGCCCAAGGGGGATTTGAATCCACCTTGTCTAAGTCTAGTACTCTTAACCACTACACCATACTTCCAGGCAACAGAATGAGTAAGCCAACCAGCCATCCCTTCCTCTCCCCCGCCTCCAAAAATCTAGCAGGATGTTTTTTTCTATGTAAAAATATTTATATACAGTACTGCTGTTCATTAAAAGCTTGCAACAATTGCACAGAAAACCATGCAGTAAAAAACATATAACAGGTTCACTGCTGGCAAGCGGGACCAGGAAATTTGTGGGCCATTTTGTAACTGTGAAGCCAAGCAGCAGATAACTATTTTGCAGGGACCAAGGTATGAGGTGACTAGGACTGGGTAATATCTGGTTTACAGCTAAATATGGCAATATATGACAGTGTTGGAAATAAGGTGGGGAAGAAGCAGCAGCAGCAGAGATACATCACTTAGCCCTACCAGAGGAGAGATGGGGGGCTTCTTTAAATGGGTCAGTTGAGGCACAAGAAGCCTTTCTGCGCCTCAGCTGAGTGAGCCCCCTTGTCGCTCTTGCTCACATGAGCCGGGGGGTTGGGCCTTCTTTAAAATGGGAGAGCATAATTGGAGGGGGGGGGACAGACAGAGACAATTGCACATCCCGCCCCCTGCAAAAGAGGAGAAGCAAAGGGTATGGACACGAGGGAGAGAAGGGGAGAAGGGAAGGAGGAAGGGAGCTCAGGAAAGAAGAGGCTTAAACAACAGAGCAAGGTTTATTTCATTGTTTTTTTGAATTCAGAATAACCCCATGGGGGAAAAAGAGGCTTCCAGCATCTGCCAGCCCTGCTTGTAAGAAAATCTCATGGCATTGTAGCCAGAGGAAAGTTCCTGGTCTGTGTCTGTGTTGTGGTTTGCTGCCATCTGCTGGATCTAACAGATAAAAGGAAGAGCAACAGACAAAAGCATTCTCTGGCTTTGAGCAGTTTATATTATAGTCAGGGCAAATATTCTGAACCAGTTATTACGATGTGGATTTCAAACCAGTCTTCACTTATCTATCACCATATTGTCCAGGTCTACAGGTGCCCCTTTCCCTGTGTTTACTCTAGGATCATGAATGTCAGAGGAAGGCTATAGCTTAGTGGCAGAGCACCTGCTTTGCATGCAGAAGGTCCCAGGTTCAATCCCTGCCATCTCCAGGTTGGGCTGGGAGATATAATTATAATAATAATTATAATAATAATAATAATAAATAAACAAAGAAATTAAATAAATTTTATTTATACACCACCCGCCCCGGACAGAGCCGGGCTCAGGGCAGCTAACACCAGTAAAATTAATAAAAACATAATAGGGGAAAAAACCCAATTTAAAATACAGGTTAAAATGCAATTTAAAATGCAGCCTCATTTTAAAAGTAGCCCATAAATCAAAACCGTAAGGGGAGGGAAACATAAGGGTCAGACCAAACCAAAGGCCAGGTGGAACAGCTCTGTCTTGCAGGCCCTGTGGAAAGATGTCAAGTCCCGCAGGGCCCTAATCTCTTGTGACAGAGACTCCATGTCTGAAACCCTGGAGAGCCACTGCCAGTCAGTGTCAATGAGAGATCAGCAACTGGTGCTGCTCCCAAGTATTGTTGGACTTCGACTCCCCTCAGCACTACCCAGCATGACTAATGGACAAGGATGATGGGAGTTGGAGTCCCACAACATCTGGAGAGCCAACCTTGGAGCTTCCTCTGTCACTATGAATAGCTACTATTCCCTGCTTCAAAACTTAGAATCCCTTTATGTGTATTCAGTCATCAGCATTATCACTGCCGTCCTTTTAATCTTACTAATTAGATTTCTTACCTGCCTTTTGCCATAAGGTCCCAGGGTGGGCTACAGCAATTTAAAAAGTACAAGAGTATTTTTACTATTGCAAATTACAGTCACAACAGTAGGGTGCACCCTATATATATATATGTTGAAGGCCAGGGTAAAGTGGCGTGTCTTTAGCATATGATGGAAACTATGTAATGAAGGTTCCAGCTGCACCTCTGTGGGGAGGGAATTCTGCAACTTAGGGGCTGTTGCAGAGAAGGCCCTCTCTGAACTTCTGAGGGTGGTGGAAGTACTAAAAGGGTCTTCTGCCTGTTGATCAGAGCAGCTGCAAGGATCTTTAGGGAAGGAGGTTATTTGGATATGCAGAGAAGGAATGGTGCAAATCTTGCCATTTTGCCCAGCTATTACGGAGGTGAAAAATGAGAACGCAACCAGCATGGGAAAGAAAAACCAAACACTTTACATCAAAAGTATATTAAATCTGTCAATTCTTCCAATATTGTTTTTCCACAGTTCGACACCGCACAGTGTACAGAAGAAGAAGAAGAAGAAGGGGAAAAAGTCAAAGTTCCTCTTGGATGATGCGATTCCCAGTGTTAGTTTCTTTATTTTTATTTTTTGAAGAAAAGAAACTGCCCCTCACTCAGCTCCCCATGTGGTTCTTTGTAGATTTCCTGATTTACTCAAAGCGGAGTGGTTGAATAATGGTTTTCTTCTTAGCAGCAGCTGATGTTCTTGGGCTGTTCACGGTGCCAGTTAGATATGCCCTTTTCCAAAGCACCTCGCTGCATTTCCACCCCAACCTTGCCCTGCTTCCATAGTCAGTCAGCATCCTATGACCATTGAGCATGCACAGTCCTCATTATACTTCAGCATTCCGCATAAAAACAAGTGGAACCTGCAGTAAAATGTTGCAGTGTGGAGTGCTTCTGTTCAGTGTTCCAGTTACTCCGTTCAATTTCTTTTCTTATTTGGTGTTTCATTCCCCTTGCCTTCCAGCACTCAGGCATCATTCCATGCCTACTCAGCATGCTTTCTCACTGAGCTGTTTATGGGTTCCTCTTAAGATTCCCTCTTACCCAATATTTTTCATACTTCTTCAAATATTTCAGGTTCCCCTGAGCTTGCTGTTATCCCCCTCTTGTGCTGTTTTGGTCATGTAAAGATCAGTGCTTGGAGAATGAGCTTGCTATTATTAGCATACGGGACAGCGTCACCACTTTGCCTGGCACAGTGCAGAATGGTGACAATTCAGCCCCCTGCCTCGAGGAGCTTGCACTCTAAAATTTGACACTGGAGATGACAGAGGGAAGGGGTGGAAACAGGAGGCAAGCAAGGGTGAACGGGAAGAACATGTGTTTGGTTTGATTGCACGTATGTGAGATGCGTTTCAGAATGGGATGGGGGCTTGTATGTTGCACCAATGAGTTCACAAGGGTGGGGGGGGGCACTGGGGAACAATTTTAGGGGAGGCAGAGGCTTCAGAGCATCAGTTGGCTTGCTTCTGTTTCAGGCTATTTAAACCTGCTGTTAAGGCACAAAGGGTGGAGGAATCTAGCTGAGAGAGAGAAAGAGAGAGCGCTGACCTTTGGCCATGCTATACTTCTTGAGGACTGGTCAGGAACCTTTTGGCTTGTGGGCCTGATCAGGCCCACCAGCCCTCTCCCCCACCCCCATTTGACCCAGCAGGCCATTCCGGCTCAGCTCTGTGCACCTGATATTGCATGCAGTGTCAGGTGTGGCTGGGTCAAAAGGGGGGTGGGTTGCAAGCACCCACGAAGTTCCATGCATGGTGCTTTGCATGCTTTGCAACCAATCAGATGGTTAGTGTTTGAAAAGCTCTGGAAGGGCTGACTGTCAGCTGTTTGGTGGCAACTGCAAAACACCATGCCTTTGATCACGTACACACACAAAAAGGCACACCTGATGTCACTATGACATCTGGATTGGCAAGTGGGCAGCCCCATCCATCTGTTAAAATTAGCCCACGAGGAGTGAGAGATATAAGCGTCCTGTCTGCCATTGAAATCAAACACCTCACCTCTCTGCTTGATAATATGTGTATATATTTGTAATGGAGGTTTCTGTTTTGTCATTGTTCTGTTCTTCACATCCCGACTCTCAGACTGATTTTGCCTCTGCTTGGAGCACAAACCATCACCTGGCGAGCATCTTTGACTTCAATGTGGACGAAATGCAGAGCTCGAAAAGGTAACAGTTGTCTGCTACAGGACCAGGCGAGGCTTGGAGCAAGGCTAATGGAAGGCGGGGGGAGGCATAGCCCAGGGGAAGACCACATGCTTTGCTTTTATTTACTTTTTAAACTTATATCCTAGCCTTCCTCCCAAAGGAGCCTAGGGCAGAAAATAGATCCATAATTTAAAAGCAATTCCCAGCCCCCCAAAAACTTAAAACGTGCATAAAATAATTGCAGTTTAAAATACCCCAGAAGCGTTTATGATTAAAAACGTTCTTCCTGGGTACCCAAGAAGAGTATGATTGATGCCTGTGTATGCCACCAAATGCCCAGATAAGCATGAATGTTTTCAAATTCCTCCTGGAAGTTGATAATGATGGAAACAGGTGCATATCTTGCAGGAAGGCTTTCCACAAATGGGGTGGGGGTGGGGTGGGAGAGAGAGGTCCATTCCCAGGTGAAAACTTGGCAAAGCAAGGTTTGCTGACACTTGTTCAGAAGCACTCTTTTATATGATGATGACATACGCTGTGTGACAGAGCCTCTGCTTAAGCTGTTGCTCAGTGCAGTTTGACTCTTTCCCTGCTCACGCTTTCACGCTTTTTTCCCAGCGGAAGCTCGAGCCATAATTTCTTTTCTGACGTGGATACGGCCACGGATGCTGCCAGTACTTCAGGTTCAGCCGCAACCAGTGTGTCCTATGAAACAAGGTGGGAGGCCAGGGGCTATCTTATGTTTTCGTTTTTGCGTTCAATGTGGGCTGTCTGCTATTTACTTTAAAGATGGCGCTTCACACCTGCTGTTTTTATAAGCACCTCTATCTGCCCATCAAAATGCAACATGTATATGTACTTGCTTAAGAGTTACGCACTTACTTAAGTGGGACTCATAATTTGGAATGGTTTTTAATTGATTCATTTAACGTCCTGTGGCCCTCCAGATACTTATATGTATTTATTTGTAGAAGTATTTCTAGACCACTATTCTTGAAAACATATAAGAGCATACAACAATTTTTAAATGGGGGATCAGCTAACTATTGTGGAAAGATGTGTTCTAAATTTGGAGGGGTTATGGGAGTTGTAGTCCATCTGGCAGCCCAAAGAGTCCCCATCTCTGTTCCAAACCATCTGTCAGCTAAACAACTACAGCCGTAACTTAGCAATATTATTCTAATATTTATTCCCCTTCCTCCCCTCCCGCTCCCCTTTTTATGAAGATTACCTGCTTTGGGATCCTACAGCTAATTCCCCCCTCGCTGGACCAAATAGGACTAATTTAGCCAGCTAGCCCTGGTGATCATCTAATGTTTATTGGCTGGATTTCCCCTCTAAATTGATTTTTGAATTCTAAATTTATTGTTATTCACATTTTATACTGTATTTTATGCTGTTTTTGTTGTTGCATCAATTAAGTGTTTTAAATTTGTTGTTAGCTGCCCTGAGCCCGGTTTTCTGAGCCGGGAAGGGTGGGATATAAATAAAAAAATATTATTATTATTCTAATAATATTATTACATATTACCTAGAAGGAACCTGGGCAGCCGGAAGCGTAAGATGACATGCAGAAGCTACACAACTATTGAGACAAAGCAGAAATGTGCGGAGGGCCCCCAGAAGGTCACACCTGGGTGCTCCTCAGAAGAAAGTGAGGCAACCGGGGGCCCAGATCGCCCAGAGAACCCCACCCAGGGTCATGCTTTCGGGAGCCTGAATGAAGGCAACTCATCGTCCTACCTCAGATCATCAATCAACAACTATTTTGGCGCTGCTGGCAGGATGGTGTGTGGGGAGAAGTACAAAGTGTTAGCCCGTAGGGTGAACCTAGATGGCAAAGTTGAGTACCTGATAGAATGGGAGGGCACCACCCCCTACTGAGTGTCTGGGGTGGTTTGCCCTTGAGAAAATAAAGAGTTTGGGGAAAATAAACTCAGAGGAGTCGTGCAATCAGATGTAAGCTATGTTATGCTTATTTTGGGCACTCTGGGGTGGGGTTTGGGTAATACTTTGATGAGGCGCCTTCAAGTAGGCTTCGTTGAAAGAACGATTTTTGTAAGCTACAGATCAAATGGAATCATGTTGCTTTGTAACACTGCTTCTCTACAAGGCTGAGGGAAGGAGTGAATGGGTACAAACAATGTATTTTATTTGTCGAAAGAAGGACAATACCTGCCATTTCCAGAAGGACTCTTCTCTTTCAAACGTGGCGACAGGCAGAGAGGGAAACTGATGCTGCCATTTTGGGATGGGACGAAACTGTCCAGGTTGCTTAACCAAGCAGGGGTGGGTCCTTGTTCTTGGCAGGGAGGATGAAGTGACAGAAAGATTTAAGAATGGGGGTGGGGGAAAGATCCACCCTCCACCCACAGAAGGCAAGTTTGATAAGTGGGCAGTGTCTCCCACTGGTGACCTGTTTCTTGCCAGTGCAATGATCAGCTGATTGTTGGGGAATTGCATAACTCTGGGTGATACTTTGCAAGCCCTGGCCAATTAGCATCAGTGCCCACAGAGCACAGTGCATTGTAAATACAGCTGATTGGCGGTGCCTGCAAAAAAAGCTTTTAGCCCAGCCATGCTTTTAACTGCCCTGCATTTGATGTTGGTTCAGGTTAGCTGGGCGCCAGCCAAAGCTGCTTTTAGGCTCCAGTGTCCCTTGAACCCGCTTATCTATGCTATGCATTTGAAACTGGTTCAAAACCAGTTTTGACAGCCATAACTCTCCTCTGCCCAACTTTGCGGGTGGTAGTTCTGAGAGGCAGTGAGGGAATCTTTGCTGAAGGTTCGTAGTCCCATGCAGGACTTCTGTTCCTTAGTTGAGAGTTAAACTGGTTTAAACTTGTAGAGTTGAGGTGACATTCAATAAGAGATTCGCTTAAAGCTTATCTAACCCCTTGGCTGTGCTGAGGGGACTAACTGGGATATATGGGAGAACAGGGTATAGTTGGTCAGTGATGACAGAGAATCACAGAGCTGGCCATCTATTCCAACCCCCTGCAATGCAGGAATCTCAGCCTGTGAGGGCTGTTGTGTTGTGAACAGGGCTGGATCTGAGGCCCTAAGCTACTGAAGGTAATGGGGCCCTTTATATGTCCAGCTGTCCTTTGTCAACAACCTATTGTCACTGTTTTTTGTGTTGAATATATGCTATATTGTAATTTATGGACCTAATAGATATCTAAAGCCATTTGCCACTGTTGCTGTATGTAAGTTTTATTTTTTGGAAATGTACATCCAGTTTTTTTCCCTTTAATTTTTTTTTGGGGGGGGGCCAAGAGAGTGGGGCCCTAAGCTATAGCTTATAGTAAATCCGGCACTGGTTGTGAATGTGCTTGGTTGCTGTGAATATAATTGGCTGACCCTGCATTTTTTGGAAGACCAGGTTCCATGTGTCCTGTGAGAAAATGGCACAAATGAGGCCTGGTCTGCATATCCAGGAGAAGGAGGTGGTAGAACTTTAATGTGGTAGGATGGACTGTAAGATAAAAAAGGTAAAGGACCCCTGGACAGTTAAGTCCAGTCAAAGATAACTATGGGGTGCAGCGCTCATCTCATTTTCAGGCCGAGGGAGCCAGCATTTGTCCACAGACAGCTTTTCAGGTCATGTGGCTGTACCAATACAGACTGCAAGACAGGGGGATGAACACATGTTTGAATGCTTCTCCATATGGTACAATTCCATCCAAGCAGAAAGTTGGAATATCAGGGAGTCAAGTTCTTAGCCAGCTAGTTTTCTACTTATGGAGAGATATATAGAGGGAAATATAGATATAGAACATATGGGATTATTTTTTATGGAATTCACTCTATGCCTGCAGTGGTCCAGTTAATTCTTCTGCCTTGCAACTGGACCACTCTGATTCTATTGTGTGTGTGCAAGCAAGGCCTGAGATTATAGCTCTGATATGTATGTGCAATATGACAAGTCTTTGAGGAGGAGCTGGGTGGCCAGGGAAAGAGGAGGCAGGGAGGAAGAGGCAATAATAATAGACAGGTAGAATCAACTGGGGGAAAACGTTCCATTCTGAGCATCCTACAAAGATTCAGGTGGAAGCAGGAGGAGAATTGGGGGTGAATGTGGCGCAACCCAACCTCTCTTGTATGTCTGAAGCTATATGTGTGAAAGTTGATGGTATTTGCTTATATAGTCATCCATGAAGGTAAAGCAGTATTAGCTAGGGCTGAGCCAAAAGTCGCCCCTCCCCTCAAATATGACACCTTGTCTGTAGGCTGAAAAGTTGGGACTCTTATCTGATTTTTGTGGTGGGGACCGTAAAGTTTGCCAGGCAACTGTGTTCCTTGTTGCTGCAAGGAGCCATTTTTCAAACCAGCAGTTCCTGAGTGTGGGAAGAGGAAGCCTGATTTGGCTTCAGATGTCATTTTTCAACCAAATCTCATTGCTTTACATGGTGTTGTGATGAAGTCAAATCAGAGTGATGGCAGGGGGCATTGCTGCCTTTGCTCTGATTTGGCTTCAGGTGTCATAATTCAGCCAAACCTCATTAGCTTGCATGGTGTTATTTTGGAGCCAAATCACAATGAGGCAGGAAGAATCAAATTTATTACTTTACTATTTGCTTGCTCTGCAGGACGGAATGGTCTGCAGGATTTAACTTCATTCCGCAGGGCCTGTAAGACAGAGCTATTCCGCCTGGCTTTCAATTTGAGCTTAGCCTAATATTTTATTCCCCTTCCTCCCCTCCCCCTCCCCTTTTTATGAAGATTACCCACTCTGGGATCCCACAGCTAATTCTCCCCAGTCTCTTCGCTGGCCATAATAGGACTAATTTTGCCAGGTAGCCCTGGTGATCATCTAATGTTTATTGGATGGATTTTCCCCCTAAATTGATTTTTGAATCCTGAATTTTTTGTTATTCAAATTGTATACTGTATTTTATGCTGTTTTTTGTTGCATCAATTGAGTGTTTTAAATTTGTTGTTAGCCGCCCTGAGCCCAGTTTTCTGAACCGGGAAGGGTGGGGTATAAATAAAAAATTATTATTATTATTATTATCAACTGCCAGCCTGTGGGTTGGATCTGGTCCCTGAAGCAATTTTTATCTGCTCCTTGGCAGTCCTATCCAGTTTTATCATATAGTACACTAAAAGCATGTCCACACTTTCGCTCTTATGAAAAGGGGTCAGAAATAAAGCGATTTGGCTTCATGATGACGGCACATAAGCTAGTGAGGTTTGGCTGAGCAATGGTGTCTGAAGCCAAATCTGAGTGTAGGCAAAGCTTCTTCCCGTTGATCTGAGTCAGCTTCATGAAGACACCATGTAACCAAATGAGATTTGGCTGAGCGACAGCATCTAAAACCACATGAGAGCAATGCAGTCCTAGGCAAGTCTACTTGGTGATAAGACCCACTGGGAAGTAGTCAACTAAGTTTGATTCGGAGTAAACCCATTGAAATTAATGAGCATGACTAAGGGAGCAATCGTGTGTATGGGAAGGTGGTGTAAAGTAAGCCAGATCCAAACTCTGTTCGGGAGCGAGGCTACCACTATTTGAGCCAGTCTAAGCCAAAGCACAGGGGATAGGAGGCTTTAAAACAGAGTTTGAGTTTTGCCAGCTTACCTTACGACAGTCTGCCAGGTCATGTGACCAAGCTCTCAAATCCTCCCTGCTGGCACTGCCCCCCCCCTTGTGGAATGACCCCTTTTCAGGTCTCATGGTGGCTTAAGATCCACCGTGCGCATTTCAGCTGGGGTGAGGGACTGGCTGAGCTGGGGCTGGGGGCTTATGCCAGCATAGCCCAGCCGAGCCAGAGATCAGCCACATTGTAGTCTGATGGATCTCGGTGGATCTAGAGTTAGGGTTCTGCCCTAAACTAGGACCATTAACTTCAGTAGGCTTACTCTGAGGAAAACTTACTTTTGGAGCTTCCTCCAAAAGAAGCATGTTTAGAACTACAGTCTTGATATGAACATATTTTATTTTCAGTGTTTTCTGGCATCCACTGCCCACAGTGGAGCTCATTGTGCTATTAACTGTGAACCACTAGGCGGTGCTAATGTTGTTATGGAGCCAAATCACTGATGACCGTCCTGTTTGTGCGTCTAAACACACGTCTGGCTTCTGCACCAATGTCTGTGGGTTTAATAATTCAAGTGCAGGTGTGACAGAATGATCTCTGTCAGGGATTTTAAAACAAAGCAGGGGAGAAGCACCGCCATTTTGGAGTTAGCTGAGCTCCCTTCAGTTTCCAACAAGGGTTCTCCATCCCACAAGGCTCTCTCGGGAGAACACCTCTAAATTCAAATACAGGCCATATTCATGTGGATACCACTTTAAATGGCCATGACTTTCCCCAAAGATTTCTGGGAGCTGTGGTTTGTTAAGGGGGCTTAGAGCGATTAGGAGACACCTATTCCTTTCCCAGAGCCACAGTTCTCAGAGCGTTCAACAATTAACCCCTCTACACAGGGAACTCTGGGAATTGTAGCTCTGGGAGGCGGAGGGGAATTGCCACTGACACCTGAGGTTTAGTATGCACACCATCCAATATTTTCTTGACTACAGGGAAGATTTGAAAAGGGGACATTTCCTCAAAATGAGGGAGACCAAAAAAGAGACTTACTTCTGTCTCCTAGCATTCTCCTTGACAATGAAAGGCACAGACAGTGCTATTTTTGAAGAAAAAGAGATGCTGGAATTCACCATGAACGGCACCTTCATTCTCTTAGAATGGCAATGGCACCCACCTGAGAGGTGCCAAAACTGAGTTCTGGCAAGTTCTACCTGAAAAAAGTACTGGGCACAGCATTGTGGATGACACATTGAAATGACCAAGCACTGACTTTTTGTTTTTTGTTTTGTTTTGTTTTGAAGTTAAGTATCTGTTATCATTACCAGTAATTTGCAGAGAGATCTGAATGTGGTTGCATTTGCACGTTTCTCATTGCACGATTTAAATCTAGGCCCCACAACAGAGCAGACTAATCTGCCATAGTGAGGGGGGGGGGAGGCGGGGCTCTAAAAATATCATTCCCCCCCTCCCGAGGGATTTTCTCTCTCTTTTTACATTAGCTTGGATTGATGTTCTTAATGCTTCTGTGCACCTTCTTATTAAAACCAGAGAGAAAAAAGATTCAGTCTTTCAACTTGCTGCTCTTTAATGACTGACCTTTTGTTTTGTTATATTCAAGTTGTAATTAATATGACAGATGTGCGATTATTATTAAAAAATAAAGTGGTGTTTTTTTTTCAACTTCACCATGGCATTCGTGTTTCTTGGGATGGAGACGGTTCTGCTGCACAAAGCAAAGTGAGATGTTTGGCAGAGGTGATGGATTTGGGGGGGGTGGGGATATTCACAGGGGGGGGGAGACCAGAAGGGAGGGGGGAGATCCTGGGTTGAGTGGGGAGGAAGGAACAAGGCAAAGGCATAAACAAAGGGGAAATGTAGGCCAGGGTGGGGTGGGGTGGGGGGAAGTGGCAAATATGGCCTTCTACGCCTCTCTCTCTGACCCTTGGGATTCTTCTCAGACCCATAGCTGTCAACTTTCCTCCCCTTTTTAAGGGAAATTCCCTTATTCCGAATAGGATTCCTCACAAGAAAAGGGAAAAGTTGACAGCTATGCTCAGACCACGCCCTTGTTTCATAACGTGAGTGTTTTTGCCTGGGCACAGTATGTCCTCGAGCTTGATAATGCATCTTGCTTGCAGGGATGGAGGACACAGGAGGATATTTGTGAGTGCACCTAGAAATTAGCCGACTGCACAAAGATGACATTTACATTCATTGTTCCGTCCATTTTTGCATCTGGCCCTGTCCACCAGTGGCATATGGCCCTCGTGAGGTTGCCCACAAGGGCATGTAGCCCTTGAGCTGTGGTAGACAAAGGGCAGAGAAAATATTCCCCTGCGTGTTGATGGGACTCTGCTTCCAGTGACGATGGGAGCTTTAGCATGGCAATATCTGAAAGGTTTCAAGATCTCTCTACTCTTGTGCTTCAGAAAGCATTATTCAGACGTTAGTTGGATACATGTGTTTCTTGCCCAACACTGGCAGGCACGGAGATAGTTCGTTGGCTACAGAATTTAAATTTTCAGGTACCATAAGTGGCCTGAAGTGTTTGCTTTCTAAACAAAAAGGTGGGATAGAAATGTCCTTAAACCAACACATTTGTGACAGGGGGTAAGGTGGGTTGTAGGGCAGTCACAGGTCAATCCTTTGCACATCTGCCAGTTTTCCACAGCACTGAACCACCCCCCCTTCCCAGTTGAAAAAAATCAACTGGGCTTGTTCCTGGTAGCAGAACCAGGAAAAAAAATCCTCTGCCCCTCAATTCTCAGTTTTTGAGTAGAGAATGACAACTGCATTTTAAGGGGTGGAGGAATAAACAGATCAGTTTCACACACACACATTTTGCTTTAGCTACTATAGCTCTAATAACTTTGAGGAGGGGAAGAGTGCAGAATCCATTTCCAGATGTTGTAGGAGCTTTATCACATAATGGGCTGACAGCAGATTAAAGAGGAATTTCCCATGCACTTAAAATGATCGTGCAAGCCTTTGTGCCAGCCTTCCTCAGCCTGGTGTCCTCCAATATCTTTTGGAATACAACTCCCAGCCTCGGCCAGCATGAAGAAGGACAGCATGTTGGAGGACACCAGGCCGGGAAAGGCTGCCATTTTGGAATGAGATGGAAGCTATTTGCAGCCACCCATTGAATTTGATGAGATTAGTCTGTGTGCAAGGAGCACAGACAAAATCCACTTATGTCTAGGCAAATGGAATTGGAAGTGAGTAGTGTTTTTCAGAGGAGAGAGAAAGAGAGAGAGGTGCTTATATATTTTTATTTTTAGGGAGAAGCCAGAATAGAGAATTTAAAGAATGAGAAGGTTTTTAGCTTTTTTGGAAGTGATTAATATTTTCCACAGAGGTGGGTGCGAGCTGAAGTGGGAACCCCTGAAGCCCACTAGAAAGATAATCCTTTTTCATTCTTCCCACCCCAAAATCAAACCACCAAACCCCTGAACCTATTTGTCTGCAATTTGGCAGATCTCTAATTCAGAGTCACCTATCTCATGTCTGCAATTTTCAGACCCAATTGCTGACAAAACACCAAAGAAGGTTGATTCCTTTTTGTTGTTGTTGTCGTTTAGTCATGTCCGACTCTTCGTGATCCCATGGACCAGAGCACGCCAGGCACTCCTGTCTTCCACTGCTTCCCGCAGTTTGGTCAAACTCATGTTAGTAGCTTCGAAAACACTGCCCAACCATCTCGTCCTCTGTCATCCCCTTCTCCTTCAACATCAGGGTCTTGATTCCTTTTTTACACCCCCCCCCCAACCTATGGCAGCTGTCCTTGCAGGAAAACCACTTCTGCGTAAGTGTCATACACTCACAAGGGATTACCATGGCCGCAAATTTCACTCTGTTCTCCCCAAAATAAGAAATTATAGGTGTTTCTGTTTGTTTTTAAAAGTCAGTCTCTAACAGTGTCTAGTACAAAAGCCCTTTGACCTCTTTACTTGTAATTTGGCATTGCAGTGCTTGTAAATGATCCATTGCAATGCCTGTAAATTTCACCCACTTTTGCAAAAAAGCGAAGAAAGTTATAGCCTCCCCTCGCCTGCCACCCCGAAATAGTGAATGGAGTGGGTGAAAATGAAGGAGACTTGCGCACCTCCCAAGCCAAATTGGGCAACCCATGAAGTGTCTCAGACTGAGCTGTTTTCCGAAGCACCCAATCAGGGTCCAAACCAAATCTTAGGGTTGGCTCACACTGCTACTTCTTGTTCACTGAATTCCTTAAAACTCCATTTTCTTGGTTTCTGAAATACCAGCGAAAATGTGAGAGAGGCAACTGTGTAAGCCTGTCTGGATGTTAGGAGACATTTCAGACTTTGCTTCTTGTACAGCTACTTTCTTTGGAGAATTATAGCCACAAAATGTTTAACCAAAACTGCAAGACTGAGCAAGTTGCAACACAAAGATCCTGTTTCTTCCAGAGAGGATCCTGCTCTCATGCAACTCAGAACCACTAACGGAGCATTCTCAGTTGCTTTATCCACCTTGACCATGTTTGCGAAAAGAGAGGACTGTCATGCTATGGTAGCTGGCAATATCCACAAGTCCTTTGGGAAAGTCTGTCCAGAAGCATCTTCTGGATGATGATGGCTAATCATACGGGATACTCTCCTCCATCCATTTTAAATAGGCCGGGTTTCCCTGGTCAATGAGCAGGCTGATAAATTCGGGGATTGCGAATGGATGCAAAGAGCTGAGGGAAGAAAAGCACAGATTATCTGCATCTTACTATGAAGCAAGAATGGAATTCTTACAGGTAAAAGGGGTATACGAGCCACATATCAGAACAGGCGTGCAGGAGCATTTTGGCATAGTAGGGGAAGATAAAGCTCCAGCCGGCAGGCCCACGCACTTGTCAATCATGTCAGGTGATGGACGGTTGGCCAACAGGAGTGGGAAGATAGTAACCAAACAGGATTGAACTCCCTGCATCTCTACCTCACCCATATGACCTCAGGTATGAGGCTGATGGGTGTGACTTGGGCAAAACTGATTAATGCGCCAAATTGGGAGGTCTGGTGGGCCAAATCTGGCCCACAGCTGGTGGGCTTCCCACTGTTGTATTAGAAGGTTGCAGGGTGACAAAACTGTGCATGTGTTTTTCACTCAACGGTACCATGAATGTGTGGGATCTGGTCAGGCCTGGTGTAGGCACCTGGTATCCTAGGGCAGCTGACAAGGCCCCAACATCATGGCAGTGCCCACTTGTGTCAATGTGGGCCCCACCCACCTCCTACATTCTGGTCAGGTGGGTCTAGAACAAACAGCCATTTTCATTTCCCACAATGCCCTGGAGTAACACTGCATTGTGGGAAATCACAATGGCAGTCAGTAGCTGCTTGGGAGTGCTTTCAGGCTGTTATCACTTCCTAAAAAACCTGAGGGAGCCCTCTCAAACCTGCAACCAGCTGCAGGTTTGGTATTCAGCATAGAGGGCCACAACCAGAGTGGGCCCAGTGGGTGGGCCACCTTACTTTGAGGACTGGCTTGTCCATCTGATAACTTTGTGTGTGTGACTTTTAAACTCGTCACACAGCAGCTTCTATTTACAGAGCACTGCTTCACCAAGCTGAGACATTCATCATGGCTTTTTGTATAGGTATACAGTGGTACCTCGGGTTACAGACGCTTCAGGTCACAGAAGCTTCAGGTTACAGACTCTGCTAACCCAGAAATAGTACCTCGGGTTAAGAACGTTGCCTCAGGATGAGAACAGAAATCGTGTGGTGGCATCACGGCAGCAGTGGCAGGCCCCATTAGCGAAAGTGGTGTCTCAGGTTAAGAACAGTTTCAGGTTAAGAACGGACCTCTGGAACGAATTAGGTTCTTAACCCGAGGTACCACTGTATTTGGAATGGAGATAAAAAGGAAGCTACAAAGATCCTTTTGATAAGTGCAGTGGAGGCTGGTCTATTAGAGTGAATGGGGCACTGCATCATCACCCTCAGCCTGCTCTCAGCCAGCCCTGCCTTCTTACCTGCAACCAATCTAGGGGGTGGCCTTGGCTTACAGCTTCTGCCTCCTTAGTCTCAGTGTTGCCCTTGTTGAGCTCTGCAGGGAGGAGGATGGCAGTTGGCTCTGCTGCTCTAGCACCACCTGCTGTTGGGCTCCCTGCCTTCTGTCCTACCAGTCCTAATAGGAGCCAGCCATCACTGGTTGCAAGCAATTCTTTGGGGCAGATTTAAGCTGTGTCATGTCCCTGCCCCTCTGCAAAAACAAAACCAACCAACAAACAAACCAAACCAGCCACATAAGAAGCCTCACCTGATATATTCTGACAACTCATTGATTTTGGAAGTCCTTGTTTTCATCAGCTGTAACAGAAAGGGAAGATATGTGGATTAGGCATCACCACAATGCATGAATGATAAGGTCTATTTGTGAAGCTGTAGCCAAGCAGACCACCTTGTAGATGGACAAAGCTGAAATGAAATAATGAATGATGGTAAAATTTGATAATGGGATTCAAAGTAATTTGTTTTCATCTAGTTTTGTCCCCCACCCTTTCTGCTGAGTTCTACAAGGGGCAACAGTGAGATTAAAGGGGAGAGGGGAGGGAGGACACTGGACTAGTTGTAAGGAAGGAGGCAGGCAGGTGGGGGCTGGCTGAGGGCAGGATGAGGGTGGTGGTGCAGTGACCCATTCACTCTAATGGACCAGCCACCACTGCACTTACCAGAAGTATCTCTGTAGTTTCCTCTATCTCTCCATTCCAAGTATACCTATACAAAAAGCCAAGAAGAAAGTATGCTTAAAAATTACAAACAACCAAACAAAACATGCAGAGTATCCTCAGAGACGTACAATCACACAAGATTCTTCCAGAGTGGTCAAATGGGTTTGGTTCTTGACTCACATGGATGAGGCCTTGGGGAGGATATTCACGCAAGCAGCCAATTTTCTCTCCATAATTGCCCTAGGAGAAACAGAAGAGGTTAATTGGCATGTAAGTATCCTTGCACCTGGCTTCCCAGTGTCATCAGTTTTGTGATATGACAGGGGTGGTGACCCTCAGGCCTGGCGAGGGGTAAATGTGGCCCTCGAGGTCTATCTGGCCCTTAGGACATCCCCCAGGTTCCCTAGTCACCTTCTCTTTCCCCAGCCACATCCCTCACTGACCCTGCCCTCAATATCCTTGAGTGTTTTTGCCTGGCTGGAATGTGTCCTTGAACTCTGAACACGCCTCTTGATTTATTGGATGGAGGATACAGAGGTGAGAGTGTATAGCAGAAAGCAGCCTACTGTACAATAGTAAAATTTGCATTTGTTTCTCTGCCTACTTTTGCCTCTGGCCCTTCCCTCCACTGGTATGTGGCCTCCGAAAGGTTGCTTAGAAGGGAATGTGGCCCTCAGATTGAAAAAGTTTCCCCACATTTGTTTTATATCACGATCCTCATCTTACTTTAAATAAACTAAGGAAAAAATATTGATGTAGCCTTTTTTCTTAGGGGCGTTGCTTCGACCCCTTGATCACTTGGGTTGCTGTTATTTGCACCTTTTCCAGCTCTGTGATATCCTTTTTCAGATTGGGCAACCAAAACTGGGCACAGTGTTTCAAAGGCAGCCTCAGCATTCATTTATATAATGCTATTACGGAGCCTGGAATTATTTGCAATCCCTTCCCAAATAATCTCTAGTCTGGAATTTGCTTTCTCCCACTTTTCTCTCTCAAATTCACCCAGAGTTGAATAAGCTTGTTTTCTGTATTCTATTTATAGATCTCAGGGCATTTTATATTCCACCATTTACAGTCAGATGATCAAGAAAGTACTGGCTGCTAATACTCCCACTGCAATGCTGCGTCTTGGAATGCCTGGGGAATATAAATAGGCACACTTTGTGCTGCATGCCAAATGGCTTAAACCATAGTCAGGCTGCTGAGCTCCTCCTGAGGCGTGGTGATCAGGACAGCAGTGGGGCAGAAAGCAGGGAGTGGTCAGAACCAAATAATTCTAGTTTTGCCCTCATCTTCCTCCATGTTGAGTTCTGCAAGGGGACTAAGGAGGAGGAAGCTGATGCTTAGTATCACCCCCGGGGCTGGATGTAAGAAAACAGGCAGGTGAGGAAAGACTGGAACTGACAGGGCGGTATCCTAATAGTCCAGTCCACACTATGGTACAGTCTCCTCTGCCACAAATCTCAGAAGGAAAAAGTTGGATTCAAAATATCCAAGGTGTAAGCAAGACGTTAAACCCTGGGTGTTATGTACTAAGCTTGGATCCTAGAACAATAGGCAAGTAGGATCCTAGAATGCAACAACTGATTGGCTTGCAGGAGAAGACCAATCAGGCTCCAGGAGGGAAGCAGAATCAGCCAATCAGACGGGACTCATTGTGTAAATAATGTACAGTGGTGCCTCGCAAGACGAAATTAATCCGTTCCACGAGTCTCTTCGTCTTGCGGTTTTTTCGTCTTGCGAAGCACGGCTATTAGCGGCTTAGCGGCTATTAGCGGCTTAGCGGCTATTAACGGCTTAGCGGCTTTAAGAAAAAGGAAACAAACTCGCAAGAACTCGCAAGACGTTTCCCATAGGGAATTTCCCATAGGGAAATTCGTCTTGCGGAACGACTCAAAAAACGGAAAACCCTTTCGTCTAGCGAGTTTTTCGTCTTGCGAGGCATTCGTCTTGCGGGGCACCACTGTATATAAAATCCTGGGGTTTGGGGGGCAATTCAATCACTGTTTTACAAGCTGCAATAAAGAGCATGAAATCACTACAGGACTCCAAGTACCGTATTTTTTGCTCTATAGGATGCACCCAACCATAGGACGCACCTTGTTTTAGAGGGGGAGAACAAGAAAAAATAAATTCTCCCGCTCTCTGCTCAGCGCCCCTTCAGCGAAGCGGCAGGAGAAACGGAGCCCCTTCCATTTCTTCTCCTGCTTTGCTGAAGGGGCGCTGCGCAGCTCTCCCTCTCTGCTGAATCCAGGAGAGTCTTGCTTTCGTGGCTTCAGCAAAAGGAACCCGAAGCCTCCGGAGCGCAGTGCGAGGTCCTGCTGCGCTCCGAAGGCTTCGGGTTCCTTTCGCTGAAGCCAGGAGAGTCTTGCTCTTCCTCTGCTCCCTCTGTGCTTCGGAGGCTTCGCGTTGTTATTGCTGAAGCCAAGGAGCCTACATTCGCTCCATAGGACACACACACATTTCCCCTTAATTTTTGGAGGGGGAAAAGTGTGTCCTATAAAGCGAAAAATACAGTATATTTCACTGGTGATGAGGATGGGTTCTTGCTGAGCTGTCAGCCGCGCACCACACACAGCCGCACAGGAAACCAGCATCACACTGCGCATCCAGGCTACAGCTTCTGGACCCAAGGACCCAGAATGGCAACAGACAACAGCTTCATGCCGTTCAGCCCAGCCTCAGGAGACTGGGAAGGATACGCCATTCACTGTGCATCCTAAGTCTACCTGTAACTCACTCAGGTGTAATTCTGTAACTCAGATTTCAATGTTAGGGAGAAACACCTTCTATAGGAAACTGCTGCCCACCTCTGAAACACAAAGCTGGTACTGCCCACTCTGCAAAGTTAAGTGATAAGGCTCTTCCAAAGTTGCTCCCTGATAATAAAATAAAACGCATGCTACTTGCATCTGAACAACCAGCATGTCAGACAGGTGGGTGGGACCTTACAGAGAGGCTAGTTCCTTAGGGCAAATGGGGCACAATCCCAAAAGCCTCAGGATGCTCTCAGACAGACTCCACCAGCCTGCACCTGCTTTCATACTTACAACCAACCTAGGGCACGGCACTGCCTGCCAATTTACTCCTCCTAGTCTCAGTGTTCCCTTGCTGAATTCAGCAGGGAGGAGGATGGTGACAAAAGAATAATCATTTGGCTTTGACTAGCATTGGCTCTGGCACCCCCTACGGCTGGGCTTCCACCCTATCAGGGATGCCATCTCACCTTCAGGATTCTGGGTGCCTGCTGCCACAACGTGGATGTGTGACATCGCATGCACACGCCAGCACATGGTGCGTGTGATGTCCCATGCACTACATGCAGGCATGTACATATGACATCAAACGTCTGCATTACGTATGACATCAAACGTCTGCATTGCGGCGACCAGTGGCAGCTCCTCTTCCTCCCTGTCTCCACAGCCAGCGAGCCACCCTTTTCCACAGAGAGGGGCTTGTACTCTGCCTCTGCGTCTCAGGCTCCCCCTCCCCGGAAAAGGGTGCATTGGGCTGACTGCAGAAGGCGGAGCTGAACTGCTTCTCTTTCAGAGGCAGCACCGCTGCTGCCTGCTGGCTTTTCTCATTGATTGTGTGGGTGCCCAGCCCCTACAATTATATTACAGTGGGTGCCCATGCACCCATGGCCCCCTGTAGTTGTCTCCTATGCACCCTATCATTTCCAATGGGCACCAGTCACCACTGCCTTTGTATCAATGCATATGGAACGAAGCAGCTCTTCTTTTTAAAAAATAAAATTTTATTGATTTTCCAAAAAAACAAAAACCACAAAAACAAAACAAACCAGATTGACTTCCCTCACTCTAATCCCTTCCTTGGTTCTATTATTTATCAACATGCTGCGTGTCCATTGTTAAATTTATAACATATTTAAATCACCTATTATCCATTCATTGTAAAATTACAAGTAAACTTAAAACCCTGCTAATGCATTAGCCTGTGTACATTGCTTCTGTATATATGCAATAAACATCTTCCACTCTTCCTTAAATTCATTGTCATCTCTTCCTCTTAATTTCATTGTCAATTTTGCCATGTCAGCATAGTGCATTAGTTTAACTTGCCAATCTTCTTTGAATGGGACACCTTCATGTTTCCAATATTGTGCCAAAAAAGTCTGTGAAGCTGTTGTAGCATACATAAACAAGTTCTTTTGTAATTTTGGTAGGTCCACTCCTATAATACCTAGTAAGAAAACTTCTGGGTTTTTGACAAAGGTTATTTTAAACATCTTCAATTCATTATAAATCATTTCCCAATATTTCTTTATAATTTTACAATCCCACCGCATATGAAAAAATGTCCCTTCTGTTGCTTTATATTTCCAACACTTGCTTTCCCTAGTTTTATGCATTTTGGTTAATTTAACTGGAATTAAGTAGCATCTATACATCATTTTCATATAATTTTATTTAATCGCCACACATGCTGTGAATTTTATATCATTCTTCCATAACTTTTCCTGTTCTGCCATCTGAATATTGTGTCCCACATCTTGTGCCCATTTAATCGTGACTGATTTGACCTCTTCATCCTTTGTTTCCCATTCCAGCAATAGATTGTACATTTTAGATAATAATTTCGTATCATTTTCTATTATTTCTGTCTGAAAAGTTGAAATTTCATACGCAAATCCCATCTTTTTATCATTCTTAAACATTTCATTTAGCTGAAAATATTGTAACCATTCTGTTACGTTCTCTCTAACTTCATTAAAGTCTTTCAATTTTAACTGGTTTTCTGTTTCAATTAACAACTCTCTGTACGTTGCTGATTTAGGGTCCATATTCACGGGGGTATATGGACTTTTAAAACTATATAGTTAACTGTAATAATAATTTTATTTGGTTAAAGTTATAAAAGGAAATATGCATTAATGTATGTGGAACTAAGTAAGAGAGCTAGGACAGTGGTAAGCATGCGAAACTTAGTGACACAAAAGGAAGACATAGGTTAAGAGAAGGCTACCTGGAAGTGATTCAACTCAGAAAGTATGCAGAGTGAGCAGGAGAGTCAGAGAAAGAGAGGAGTTAAAGAAAGCTTGTTTAAACAAAGTTCTTTGTTTTGCAGTAGTCCTGCCTGATCCTTAATGATAATAAACAACACTTGTCCTTAGTGATAATAAACAACAGTCTTGACACACATTTTCTGCGTGTGCCCCTTATGCAATTTTAGGTTATTTATTTAGGGGAGTGTCATGACACACCATTACTTAAGCAGACAGTGGATGCACCAAAGTTATTCCGCAAAAACACCCTGTTCCCAAAAGGACTGAACAATGTTTAATCCACATATTGGATCATGATCAGAGCTGCGCTTAGCACACCATTTTAAGAGCAAAGTCCAGACAGTCAAAACCTCCACAGTGGGGGATGCATGGAAATAAGTTTAGTTCCTTTCCCTTACACAGAAGCAGTGAAGAGTAGGACCTTTTTCAAGGGTAGGATAAAAAGGCAGCTGTTGTTTGTACTGTGACCTCTTTTCCTCCAGTGGATTTTCTCTTTCAGACAGCTTCCTAGAGGATGGATTTACTCAGGCAAAGTCCCAGGATGCTCCAAATACCATGGCTACTGATTTTGCCACCCATCCCTTAAAGAAACAACAACCTTAGATTTGTTGTAATCCTGTGAACCTCAGAGTTGCTCCAAACATGTTGATTCTTCTCTCCTCTTTCTCAGTGGCTCCTTCTGAGAGCCAGACTTATCATTGCTCACCATCTGAGTTCAGGAGTTGCTCACTGTGCATGACATGTACACATGAACAGGAACACAAGAAGCTGCTTTCTGCTGAGTTAGGACGTTGGTCCAGCATCATCTGCACACTGACTGGCAGCAGTTCTCCATGGATTCAGAGAAGAATCATTCTCAGCCCTGCTTGGAGGGATTGAACTTGGGACTTGTAGCATGCAAAGCAGATGGCCTGCCTCTGAGCTATGGCCCTATCCCAAAAGAACATAGGAAGCTGCCTTAGATTGCTATGCATTCATCTAGCTTTCTATTATCTACATTGACTGGCAGCAGCTCTCCAGGATTTCAGGCAGACAGAAGTCATTCCCAGCCCCACCTGGAGGCGCTGGGGATTGAACCAGGGGATTGAATCTGCATGCAAAGCAGATGCTCTACTATTGCGCATCAAGCCTCACTCTTAACTGCAAGCAAATATGACTGGTAGCAGGAAGGTATGAATATTCACAATGGAAAGGAGAGGCTGCCACAACATGTTTGTATTTTCTGGGCAAAACAGGCTGTTTGCACTTCCTTTCTGCTTTCTGCTTATGGGGCAAAAGGTGGGGTGGAGAGAAGTTTCTCTATTTACACAGAGGTGCCCCAGGGAACTCTGCTTTGCTTGGTAAACATTTATTTCATTGGCAGAGAGTGCTTGAAACAGAGAGTCATTCAGACTCAGAAACAGAAGCTAGACTTTGGACACGTGGAATTTCCCCTCTCTGATGCTTCAAAGCTGCTTGCCACGTCCCCTTTATGGGATCTACAGGCAAGGCTTATGTGGTCTGATTGCTGAATCTGTATCTTAAGTTTCAGCTACCATACCACACAAGTGCCAAATTCACATTTGTTTTTAGAAGTAAGATTCTAGTCCTTATGAATATTGGCATGATAGGGTGAAGTCTTGGAGCAGGGCTATGAATTTGTGAGCCTCCAGCTCTTCTTCCTCCTAATTTATTAATCACCTTCTAAACCACCATCTGAAGGCAATTCATATAAAACTCAAAACTCAAATATATTTAAAACATGAATAAAACACTAACAAATGGACATTAATGGTAAAGACCCATTTATCCTGCTGAGAAATCCTGTAGCAACAACAACAAAAAATCTTCAATTGTTTCTGGAAGGTGCAGATAGTGAGTTCCTGTCATGTCTTGACAGGAATGTTGTTCCACAGACCTAGACCAGTGTTTCCCAACCACTGTTCCGCGGCACACTAGTGTGCCGCGAGATGTTGCCTGGTGTGCCGTGGGGAAAATTCGAAAGATTTTTTTTTTTGTAAAAGTCAAATTAGGTCCTAATCTATCCCTCGAGCGCCTCTTGTCCGTTATTGTGACGCATGAAGCGTGTTCCCGCCCACTCCCCGCCCTCCCTTGCTTCTCTCTCTCTCTCTCTGTGGCGTTCTCCACCGCTTCCTGCTGGGCATGCGCAGCTCGCCTCGCGCTTCCATTCCGGCCCCTCCTTCCCCCGACTACCCCGCCGCTCCGTTCCTTTCTCTTTCTCGCGTGTCAGAGAGCGGCGGCGCGAGCGCAACAGTTCCCTCAGGGCTGACGGAGGGCTCGAGGAGGAGGAGGCAGGACGTGGAGGCGGAGAAAGCGGCGGCGGCCACCCCCCACCTCCGGCTCGAGGCCCGCGTAGAAAGCTGAGGGGGAGAGATAGATAGAGGTGGGCGGCGGCGACGACCACGACCAACCGCCACAGTAGTTGTAGCGGTGGCGACGGCGAGCAGGGACTCCCGCTCTCTCTCCGTCGTGTCTCTCTCTCTCTCTCTCCCCCGGGCCCGTCCGTTGAGTCTCCCGCGCGCCTCAGCTACAAGATGAGCATCGAGATCCCGCCGGGTCTGACTGAGCTGCTGCAGGGCTACACGGTGGAGGTGCTGCGGCACCGGCCGCCGGACCTGCTGGTCTTTGCCGCCGAGTACTTCGCCAAGCCGCGCTCTCCTTCCTGCCTCGCTTTGCTGCCTCCTCCCCCCCACCCCCAAAGCTTGGAGGTTCCCCGGCGCCGACCCGCAGGTTTGACCCCCTTCTCACACCTGTTCGCGCTCCTTGCACGGAATGGGGCGGATGGGGAGGAACGGGGCTCGCCGCTGCCTCCGCTCGCCCTCCCCCCCTCCGCCGGCGGTCCCGCGATTCTTGGCTTTTTGGTGGTTGGCACAGAAGGAAGGCAAGGGAGAGGGAAAAAAATTGAATCTTACACTTTCGTGCGTCCCTCCCGGCGTGACGCTGCGCGCTGACGTCACGGGGCTGTAATGGTGGTGTGCCTCGAGATTTTTTTCATGAAACAAGTGTGCCTTTGCCCAAAAAAGGTTGGGAAACACTGACCTAGACCTTACTCTTGGCCTATAACTCCCCTCATTTCTGATCCTTGAGAGCTAGATAGACAAATGGTCTAGCTCTGTATAAGAGAAATATGACTCTGCTCCGTAGAAGCTCATTCCCATCCCACCTTGATCTCTTAACCTCTGAATAAAGAGTGGAATGTTCTCAGCTGTATGTAACAACAGCACAAACAAGCCACTCAATACTTCAACAAACTAGTATATTTCAATTATTCATTGACCCGCTCGGGCCAAGAATGTGTCAAGTCACCCTACCTTGCAATGTCTCTCGCAGTCTGTTCGTTGGGGCAATTGACGAGTGCAATTGAATGAGATCCAGGAATATAGCTACCAGTAACAGCAGAGTGCAAATGGAGGACAAGGGTTCTCAGCACTGGGTACATTAGCAAAGAGAAGCTCATAACCTGGAGGAGGGGTGGGGTGGGGAGAAGAAACCAGATCCTACATCAGCTGAATAGGCCTCCAAACTTAGACAATGTAAATACAGGTCATTGAAGTATTCTGAAAAGCAGGAAATGTGTCTGGGAGACGGGGAAACAGTGATTGTTTAATAACACCACAGGAGTGGAGAACTTGTGACATAAAAACATAAGAAGAGCCTTGTTTGATCAGACCAGAGGTCCATATAGTTCAGCCTCCTGTTCTCACAGTGACCAACCCCAGATGCCTGACGGGAGCCTGCAAGAAGGACCCAGGTACAACAGTGCTCTCCCCATTTGTGATTCCCAGCAACAGCTGTCCAGAGACTTACTGCCTCCAACAGCCAGTATGGCTAGTAGCCATTGATAGCTTGATCCTCCATGAATTTGTCTACTCCTCTTTTGAAGCCTTTTGGTGGCCGTCACTGCCTCTTGTGGGAGCAAATTCTAATCAATCTCAAACTTGGGTCTCCAGCTAAAAGGACCGGTGGTCAGGGATGCTGTTGCAGTCCAACAACAGCTGGAGACCCAGCTTTGGGAACCACTGAATGCAGAAGTACTATTTTTTTTTTGTCTGTTCTGAACCTTCCAATCTTCAGCTTCACTGGGATGTCTCTGAGTTCTAGTATTGTGTGTGTGAGAGAGAAAAATTCTCTGTCCACTTTCTCCTTGCCATACACCTCTATCATGTTGCTACTTATTCGTCTTTTGTCTCAACAAACCTTTCTTCTGCGCACTTCCTCATTTTGGCTGTCCTTTTTCGATCCATTTCCAGCTCTAACCTCCCTATGTATTAGGACTCCAATTCCCAACAGCTCCAGCCAGCACGGCCAGTGACAGGAATGAGGAGAACGGTACTGCAACCATATCTGTTGTTCCTCATCCCTGCCATAGAGAAACGCAGGAGTTTCTTCTTCCACCACAGAAATGGGGAGGCAGAACTGAAACCTTTTAAATACATCTAGCATAACCACCCTTATGCATGCTTGCAAAGTCCTGTCCCTGAAGCCGTGGGGCGGGTCACCTCTGCGTTAAACTCATTTTTAAGCTGCATAATCCCCAATGGGGAGAAAGAGACACCAAAAAATTAACTGCAATTTAATGTTTTGCTAAATCATTAAAACCTCGGTAAAAATTAAACCAGGAATTCTTCTGATGCATTAAAATAGTTTCCAAGTTTATTATTGATAGGGCAGCTTATTTACCTTTTACAACACCATCGAAGAAAAGTTGCAATTCACAGTGAACTCTTGCACAAGCCAAACACACCCAGGAAACAAACCCTATAAAACCTAGCTAATTTCCGAGGAGAAATTGCACTGTAAAACAAAACTATGTCCGTGGCAATTTGCCAGAGATGCATCGTCCTTAGACAACATCATCTTTGCAAGAAACAGCATTAATTTTTCAAGAAGTTAGAACCAGTGTTGCTTGCCAAAAGCATTGAGATAGTTTTATTCTTCCAAAGAGAGAAGCTATATACAGTATATATATTTTCAGACATTGGCTCATGAGGCTGCATCCAATGTTAGCAGCCCTACTCAGAGTAGACCCATTGAAAATGGACGCAACTAACCTAGCTCCATTGAGTTCAATGGGTCTACTCCTGAGTAAAACTTAACTTGAGGGAAACCCCACGATCATTAAATTCAAGGGAAATATTTTTGTTTGTTTTAAACCCATATGATATCCACATTCTCTCCGCGCGCCCCCCGCCCCGCCAAGTTTAAAATTTGTCTTTTAACGCCGGGGGAGAGAGGTGCGACGTCATGTTGTGGGGATTCCCCTGTGGCTCTCGCCTGCTTTTGCTCAATTTCGGCTCTCCCTTCGCTCTTCAACTTTGCAACGTAGTGATGTCAAACTTACCAGCGGCAAAGTCAAGTATCCCTGGCGCAACGCCGAGCCAGACGCCGCGAGGAGAGGCTGGCAACGCTGAACAAACCACTCCATCGGCATTTTTGCCATCTTAGCGCACCTGCCCATGGCTGCTACTAGCCCTTGCTCCAAGGCTGCGGTTCCCTTTCCTCGCCCACTTGTTCGCCACCTTTCCAGATGTGACTATCGCTGTGAAATAAGGAAACAAAAATAAATGGTGTGTTTGCTTGCAAAGGAAAGCCGACTGACGGCTGGCAAACTCCTCCTTCCTAGCGGCTGGTGCCCGCCTCCCTGGCATAGCCCCTCTGAGAGCCCCGATGCCCTTCCTTTTGGCTCGTTCTTCTGTACATCTTCCCCCATTTGAACCCGCTCCAGCGTCTCTAAGGCATTCAAAGTATTTCGCTTGGTTGGGGACACTGAAACGGTTTAGTTTGGGTGCCTAACATCCGCGGGGATAAACCAGATTCACACTTGTTGCAAAACCTATCCGAAATATAACAGTACATTAGTTGATTTTGAATAATAATTACCCAACACGCAAGGGAAGTCTCCACCGCCACCCCAATTTTGAATGTTATATTATGTCTTTGTACTTTAAACTGAAAGCTGCCTGGGAAGAAAGCCCATATACAAATCCAATGAATAATAAATAAACTTTTTAAACAATAGTAATAATAATAACGACCATCCTTCCTTTCCTTCAGGCATCCTTTGAAAACTTGTTTAGACAGGCCTTTGCAATATGATTTCCTTTTCCCCTTTACCCAGTTCTAATATATCTTTATGTTTTTATGGATCTTTGGATCATTTTATCCTTATATGTTGTACTCTGTCTTGCTATGTGCTTATGAAAGTGCAGATTATAAATTTGTAAATAAGATATATAATTATTACTATTCATTTAAGTATTGAATGAAATTTATATACTGCTTAAAATGGAGAAAAACCCCCTCAAAGTGGTGTACAAAAAGATAAGCAGTAAAATGATGAAAAATTCCCAGCCCTACTTCAAAACATTCAAAAGTTAAAATACTAAAACAGATTTAAATTACTTCAACTTTCTAAGCATCTGGGTAAAAGGTAAAGGTAAAGGTACCCCTGCCCATACGGGCCAGTCTTGACAGACTCTAGGGTTGTGCGCCCATCTCACTCAAGAGGCCGGGGGCCAGCGCTGTCCGGAGACACTTCCGGGTCACGTGGCCAGCGTGACATCGCTGCTCTGGCAAGCCAGAGCCGCACACGGAAACACCGTTTACCTTCCCGCTTGTAAGCGGTCCCTATTTATCTACTTGCACCCAGGGGTGCTTTCGAACTGCTAGGTTGGCAGGCGCTGGGACCGAACGACGGGAGCGCACCCCGCCGCGGGGATCTGGGTAGGCTTACCTAAACAATAATGTTTTAAGCAGGCACCGAAAAAGAGTAAAGGTGAAGGTGCCTACATGATCTCAATAGCCAGGGTATTTATTATGTGGCACCTGTAGTACTTAGTGCCAAATCCACCAACTGAAGCAGTCGACTGGGCATGTGTGGGACAAGGCAATCTCGTAGTTAACCTGGTTCCAAGTTATTAAGGAGTGATGTATAACTGGGGCATTTCATCATGTGAAACCCAAATGTTATCCCAAGTGATGAAGAGCAGACCAACTTTAACTGCCTTATTGTGAGTACTAGATACCTCCCTGTATTGTTGGTATATGGCCAAACTTTGCCCTTAAATCTCCTTTTTTCTTTTGATAAATCCCTTTGAACAAAGACACCCTGCACATTCATTCATTCCTTTATTTGATGCATACAAGAGCTCCTCATAGAATCATAGAATCATAGAATCATAGAGTTGGAAGAGACCACAAGGGCCATCGAGTCCAACCCCCTGCCAAGCAGGAAACACCATCAGAGCACTCCTGACATATGGTTGTCAAGCCTCTGCTTAAAGACCTCCAAAGAAAGAGACTCCACCACACTCCTTGGCAGCAAATTCCACTGTCGAACAGCTCTTACTGTCAGGAAGTTCTTCCTAATGTTTAGGTGGAATCTTCTTTCTTGTAGTTTGGATCCATTGCTCCGTGTCCGCTTCTCTGGAGCAGCAGAAAACAGCCTTTCTCCCTCCTCTATGTGACATCCTTTTATATATTTGAACATGGCTATCATATCACCCCTTAACCTCCTCTTCTCCAGGCTAAACATGCCCAGCTCCCTTAGCCGTTCCTCATAAGGCATCATTTCCAGGCCTTTGACCATTTTGGTTGCCCTCCTCTGGACACGTTCCAGTTTGTCAGTGTCCTTCTTGAACTGTGGTGCCCAGAACTGGACACAGTACTCCAGGTGAGGTCTGACCAGAGCAGAATACAGTGGCACTATTACTTCCCTTGATCTAGATGCTATACTCCTATTGATGAGGCCCAGAATTGCATTGGCTTTTTTAGCTGCCGCGTCACACTGTTGGCTCATGTCAAGTTTGTGGTCAACCAAGACTCCTAGATCCTTTTCACATGTACTGCTCTCAAGCCAGGTGTCACCCATCTTGTATTTGTGCCTCTCATTTTTTTTGCCCAAGTGCAATACTTTACATTTCTCCCTGTTAAAATTCATCTTGTTTGTTTTGGCCCAGTTCTCTAATCTGTCAAGGTCGTTTTGAAGTGTGATCCTGTCCTCTGGGGTGTTAGCCACCCCTCCCAGTTTGGTGTCATCTGCAAATTCTATCTATGCAAATTTGGTGTCATCTGCAAATTCTATCTATGCAAATTCTACATCTCAAATTCTATCAACTGTAGTTTACCCTTCACAGAGCTACAATTCCCAGCACCCTTAACAAATGTACTGTTCCCCATGATTTTCTGGAGGGATGAAATGTGTGCTTTAAATATCTACAGTAGTGCATACACAGTCAAACCTTGGCAACCGTCTTTTGGTCTAGGTTTGCCCTGCTGTAAAATGGGACTTTGGGAATGCTTGATATACTTAACCTCTTGGTGTGTTGATTTCACACCAATTTCATAGAACCGTAGAGTTGGAAAGGACCCTAAGGGCCATCTAGTCCAATCCCCTGCAGTGCAGTAATATGCTGCTGTCCCACCTGGGGATCGAACCTGTGACCTTGATGTTATCAATGCCACGCTTTAACGAACTAACCCATAATTTATTTTATGGATTTGCGCGTCATGTTTTAATGTAAACACTTCTTTATGATCTTGATACTGCTAAATGGCGGCGGCGGGGCGAGTGTTAAGGGAATTCTTCACATGCTCGGAGGCACCTTTGGGAACTCTAACATGGCTGCTTCTGTCGCTCTTTCAGGCAGCGAACATTTGCTTTTGCTGAGCGAAGAACGGAGGGCACTCAGTGCAAAGATTAACGCCACATCATTTCCGGTCACCGTCTGACCAGGGAAGAGACGACATTTATGGGGCAGGAGCTCAAACTGCCTGCCTGCAGCAGGCGGAGAACTTGTGTTTCGAGGAGCGCGTAACAACGCGAAGAATCTCGTTACTGTGTTCTAATTCGGTTCTTTCCCCCCCCTTCTGTTTTCGAAATCTATATTTATATGTATAGTCGTTTTAGCCCCGCATGTCCTTCATGTGGGAACACGGAAGCGAGTCTTAAAAACTGACTCTTTTAACTCTTAACTCCAGGGGAAAAAAATGAAGTGCGCCCCGCCCTCCTTCCTCCTTCAGCCAATCAGAAGCCCGAGCGCCTAAGTCACAAGGGGCTCTCAAGACATAGGAGGCGTTGCCTTTGTACCTGAGTGCTGCGGCCGCGATGAGGCGCCGGCCTTGGTTACGCCGCCGCTTCGGTTGCTAAGGACCGAAGTCTCGCGAGACTCCTTTCACTTCCTCTTCTTCCTCCGCCCCCTCCCCAGCACACTCTTCTGCTCTCCCAGACATTCAAATATGGCGGCGCCAGAGGTGGATGAGGCGTTGTACCTGCTCGCGAGGGTCCCGCTGCTGGAGGAGCCGCTCGAGGAGCTGCGCGCTTTGCACTTGGCCTTGCTCGCCGTTCCTCTCAATGCTCTGCGGGAGCGGCGGTCCGAGCTCCCCTTGGCGGGACTCTTCGCTCTCACGGCCCGCGGGGGAAGGTGAGTGGAGAGAGATCGGGCGGCTCTTGCTTTTTATTAAGCCGCCTCGGATCCCTGTCAGGGGGGAAAGGAAGGCGGGGTATAAAACAAAACATTTGGGGGGGGGGAGGGAAGATGCCCGCCACGGAGAACGCGTGTTGAGATTCCTGCCCTGCAGGGGGTTAGACTAGATGACCCTCGGGGGTACCTTCCAGCTCTACATGTCTATGATTCTGTGGCGCTTAACAGACCCAGCCGCCTGTTTAAAGGTGTGTGTGTAAAGAGGGAGCGGGGATTCTATTTCTCTCTCCATTTTTGTTTATTAGATTTTTAAGAACTGCCCTCGTAAACCCAGAAGATCGCAGGACTGGTTAACAACATAAAAATAGAAAACGAGGTTGCCAAAATACACGGCAAAGCAGAGCACAAACCAATAACCGCCGCTCCGCTCCGCTCCCACAAACGTCTAATCCTCAGTGGAGGAGATCGGGCACCTTTCCGGGCGGTGTCTTTTTTCATTGCTCGGTTGCCCCTCGACTCCATGAAACTGGGCCTAAGTTGCTCATGTTTGTTAATTTCAGCAAGATTGTTCAGGAGTAGGGCCAGCTCTGGCGATAGCCCGTTGTCTCTGAATTGCAGGGGTGTGGGTGGGGGCGAGACGGCGACGGGAGAGAGGGGCTGGGGTGGCAAAGCTTAAGTTCTTTTATTTAGTGTATGCTTGGGTTTTTTCTGTCAGCATCACTTGGGGAAGGTCTCTTTCTATTCGCTTGTTATGTTTCCTTGGTGGTGAGAGAGGTTGGGGTGGCCTAGGGTGTGGTTGATCGTCTTTGGCTGGCTGCAGTGGGATTTGTTTGTTGGGTTAAGGTAAAGGTACCCCTGCCCGTACGGGGCAGTCTTGACAGACTCTGGGGTTGTGTGCCCATCTCACTCTATAGGCCGGGGGCCAGCGCTGCCCGGAGACACTTCCGGGTCACGTGGCCAGCATGACATCGCTGCTCTGGCGAGCCAGAGCCGCACACGGAAACGCCGTTTACCTTCCCACTAGTAAGCGGTCCCTATTTATCTACTTGCACCCGGGGTGCTTTCGAACTGCTAGGTTGGCAGGCGCTGGGATCGAGCAACGGGAGCGCACCCCGCCGCGGGGATTCGAACCGCCGACCTTTCGATCGGCAAGTCCTAGGCGCTGAGGCTTTAACCCACAGCGCCACCCGCGT